ATAATATAAAAAATGGTCCAACATATAATGGTTTTATAGCCGAAAGATACAAGATGAATGCAATGCTGGGCGACGACTACTCGGCCGTATTTCAAACGATACGTATAGGTGGCATTATTTTTCAGGTCAATTGCAACTGAAGCGGCAACTGTGGCTGCCACACGGGCAGAAAGAAGGGCAGCCCCAGTGGCAGCTGTACAGCACTTGGCACGCCTCCCATTCCCAACCAGCGTCGACAATCGAGCGGACGTTGTGCGCATCAAAGCGACATCTGAGTTTCACTCTTTGCACAGAAACGAGCTAACGGTACAAAAGTCAGTCGAGTCGAGTCGAGCCGAGTCGAGTGCGTGTGTTGAGCGTTGTCAAATTGCAACCGGCCAGGCAGGCAGTTAGGCAGCAACAACAACAGCCAGTTGACAAAAGACTGCCGCAACATTTGTAATGGAAATTCCTGCATTGAAGTCTCGTTTCTTTTTTTTTTTGCTTTTGTTTTTGTTTTAGTTTCTGTTTCTGTTTTTGCGGTGTGTTGTTATTGTTTCTACATTGATTTAATGTTGCTGCTGCTGTTGTTGTTGCTGCTCTTGTTGGCTGCAAGTGACATTCCCTCTCCTGCCAGTTGTTGTTGCTGTCATGGTTGCAACTGTTGCGGTTCCGTCTTGGCAAGTCAATGAACCGACCAAGTTCAACTTGAACCGTCGCAAACATTTCCGGCTCTTAGCATTACTATAAACTGTATTTAGTCTCCCAGTATGGGAGTGCGATGCATTTTAGGCTTCTCCTGCCAGCTGCCTGAGCTTTGAGTGGCAGCTATGAATAGGAACATTTTCGATAAAGCACGAAACATTAGGTCTCCTAAAGAACGTCAGTTATGCAGTCGACAAAATACACCTAATTCTGTTTTTACACGGTAGATTGGTTCCAGAAACAACCGTGTAAAAATATACATTGATCATATGCAAAAATTAGGTGTACTCTTATAAGCTAAAGAAGCCTAAATAGGAAAAGTTTAAACAAATAACAATAATAATGTATCTTATAACGCCTCAGACATGCCTCGATTAATAACCACAGACGATAAAAAACAGCAAACAAATAATAAAGATAAAAATGAAAAGAATGAAAAAATGAAAGATTTATTATTCTTATGTCCATTTCCTTTAAAAGAAAATTGTGGGATGTACACATTTTTAATTGATTTTCGGGTTCAATATATGTCTTTACGAAATATCTGTTTAAAACTGTATACTAATATTATTCCGCAGTGGCTGAAAGCAAATTCTGCATACGAATTTAATGTTTCTTATTCGTTTCCTTGTAATACCATTAGATTTATTGAATTTGCATTACCATTATCCTTATCTTAAGTAATATTTTTACTTTGATTTATAATCTAACTGATTTGAATTGTAATGCAGCACTCAAGTTGAAAAATAACATGAGAAATTACATTTGAGTGTGAAGCCATCTTAATTGTTAGAAACATAATAAAGTAGTTGGCACAACTCTGCTCACCAGTTCTCACATTCCCATTATTTAAATTGCACTTTATTGCGTGTTCACCCGCAACTAAATGGCTCTGGCAATGCATTTACCGCAAATTTAGACCATATAATTATATTTAAATTCGTTCTGGTTGAGTGTTAATACCTACCGTTGTAAAAATGAAACCTAATTAAACCTCATGTCATGTTGCTTTACAACAAAAATAAAAAATCGAAAACATGTGTGGTGCTTTTCTGTTTTAATAGCAGCTTGAATGGCTAAAAGCAGCTGTATACAATATACAATAATGAAAAGAGTTTTAAAAGCACTTTTTTTAAAGAACTTTATATGACTAGGAAGTATAGTAATAAGTAGCACCAGCAGGTCTAGAATTTTACTTGTATCACCACAATATTTATTCGGACTAGCTTGTACATACTAAATTACAACTTCACAAACCAGAACTCGATATGTATATATGTATATGGAAATGGAAAACTTAAAGAAATTGAATCTTATCAATATGGATGGATTAATCTTTATAATATATATACATTTTTAAACAGTCTGAGTTTAGAAAATGTTTCACAGATAATAAGTTCATAATATTTGAAAGTACATCTTTTGCAAATTTAAAATTTTTATTAATTTAAACTGTTTTCGTTTGAATACAGAAAAAACAATTATAAAATTCTATTGAAGAATGTTATGAATTCGATGTAAAATTAAATAATATTTAGAGTACATACATATATCTTAAATAATAACATTTACTTTCGTTTTTTAGTATAATTATTTGAAATCATGTTCATGCTAAAATGTTTTAATATGATCCCACAAAAAGCATAGAAATAACTAGTAAACACTTCTGGAACGAATATCGTCCATTTTCTAACCTCAAAGAACCATATTGGAATGCAAATACGATATCATCAATGGTAAAAGGAACGTAATCACTTTTATACAAATAAATTTAATATATTATTCTTATAGCAGATTTTGTTATATCAGATAATGTTTATCAAGCCGAAAACCTTTTTACTCGACTCTCTTCAGCACGAGTTTAAATATTTTTAACAATTATCGCAGTACTTTTTTCAGCCATGAACACACCTTTATAAGAATATGATCATACATCAAACCATAAGCACAAACTCTTGTGCTAACAGTCATAAATTCAATTTTTGTGTTTGTCGGACCATTACTTCGTCTTGATAACTAGCTGTCGTAGTGCCGATTTAGATGACTGTTATCAGCAGCAAATTTACATACATACATAAGTGTGTGCATTGGGCTACAAATTCTAAGCTACACTAGTCTATGCGAATTAGCATAAAGTGGGTGTATGTGACGAAAAATATGTTTGTCTACAAACACACCCACTCTACAGTATAATGCCATAAGGCCCATTGCCCCCTTTTATGCTAATTAGCATTGTTAACGCCTCCTTTGCAATATTGCTACGTCTCTATAATTGAAATGGTGTGAATATTTTGCACAACTTGTGCGAATTTCGGGAGAGGGGGACTAACGACATGTGCATTTAGAAGTTCGACTTTAACAGACCGGTTCATGAGATAAACGAAGGAAAAAAGTTGAAAATATCTCAGCTTATCTTGGTGCGTAGATACAAAACTTCTTGTGAACAAACAAAACAAGAGCTAAAGAACTAAAATATTTACATACTGGGCTGTGCGAGTATGGCAACCAACAAATGCTAGCAAATAAAACTAAGACGAGATTAGAAATGGGGTTCAAGAGCGGCAAAGCAACACAAATAAAGCACTTAACTACAGTAATAGTTCCATAATATGTATAAATACTATTCTATGACTTTTAATATTGGGCAACATGTTTTAAGTTTATATTTTTGTTTGATATTGGAATCGGACCCCAAAGAAGATGTAAATTTTCTTCTTTTTAAAAAAAAAAAAAAAACTTTTGGAAAACTTAATTCATTAATGTTATTTCATATTAAAAAATTATTTAATTATTATAATTGTTTATGGCTGATTGCTTAATGGACCCATTGGTTTTAATCAACTTTATGTTTAATTCCTAAAATTATAATAGAATTTATATGATCAGCATAAAGTACTATCTTTCAGTATTTAGGATTTTAGAATAAAATATCTTTCAGGGAAGCATTTATAAACTTCTTACAAATATAATCAGATTTTTACATCATTTCACACTTTCATTGAAATTTAAACTAAGTTAGATGTCTAGAAAGGAGAATATATATGAAAAATATTTTGAAAATTGTTCATTCTTTGGTAATTTAAAGTTAAACAAAAATGTTAACATAGTAGTAGTGTTATAGTAATAAATTATTTGATAACTGCAAGACCTAATTGCTTACAACATTACTGGGACATTTTCAAATAAAGAGTTAGGGCTCCTTTACTTTATTTTAATAATAACAAAGCTCGGTATTTGAAATCAGTTCAAAACATATGGTATCATAAATAAATTTTATAAAGTTAAAAAATGTTGATGCATTGAAAATTTTAAAAATGAGTCCATATTTGTCAATCCCGACTGTTTCCCATTTGCGTGTTTCCGTATTCACTTAGTATGTACATATGTATGTGGGTAAAGCGAAAGAAAGTGAAATAAACGACCTACACGTGAAATTATAGAAATAACAACAAAACAATTTGCAAAAAAAAACAAAAAACAACATGAAAGGGGGGAAAAATCAATTTAAATTGAATTATACAACAACAAGAAGAAAAAAATAATAGCATGAATTGCATGAGAGATGAATTGAAAGCAAACAAAACGAAAACGGGTTTCTCATCGCATATACGAGTGTAAATATATATAAGAATCTCAATGAATGAGTAAGCGGTAGAAGGAAAGGAAAATAAAAGCAGCTAAATAAAGATGAGCTGCATAAATTAAAGCGTCTTTTGGGTGAGAGGCCGACACCGAAACATTGCCGTCTGGGTGTGTGTGGTCGGTTGGTCGATTGGTCCGGCAAGCAGGCATAGCTTGTGGTCAACGGCGTCGTCGTCGTCGTCGTCACAGTTTTGTAACAATTTGTAAGACTCGCGATAGGCCGAGGGGTTGCAACTGTCTGGCTTTTTTTTTTGGCAATACAAATTGAACACAAAATGTAATAAAGATGCGACCAAGTCGCGTGTAGAGAAAGTAGACAGAGGAGAAGATGAAGCCGACGAATCAATTTTGATTGACAGCATCAGCTGTTTGTGTATGTGCGTTTGTGGGTGTGTGTAACAGTAATTGCAAAAGGGCCAGACAGTGTGCAAATTTTGATGATTTATTTGATTCATTATACGCAAATTTCTTAAATTAAGGAAGTATTACGCTCGCTTGCATGTTTCGCATTTATTACGATTATTGTTGTTGTTGCTTTTGCTGTTAAATTTCAGAGCCCAAATCCGGTTTTCTGAGCAACAACAGCAGAGGGGTAGGAGGGTTGAATGTGTCAGGACTAGCTATTGATTGTTACAATTTTTTTTGCATAAAAGTAAATGAAGGTTTTGACTTACTTTATAGTTTAGTTGCGTGCCAGAATGTATTATTTTAAATAACCACTAAATACTTCAGGACATTCCATTTAAATGTTTATTACACGCATCGTACTTACTGCAGAAGCAAACAAACACACACACGCACACACACTATCGCTTGTAAACTGGTAGGCAGGCAGGTTGTTTAGTTGGGCACAATCCTTACAACAACAACGCGCGAGCGCACACACACACACGCATACATGAGGTTAATTGAAATAATTTGTTGAATATTTTGTTTATAATTGCAACTAAATGTTTTATTAAGGCTCTGAGTTTCAAGTGCCCACTTTAACTAGTTATTTAATTTACTTGAATTTGTTTATGCTAATTTAATTTGATTTTTTTAAATCAATACGCGACGCGATGCGCCTCTGCGCGCAAACCTTTTACGATTGAGCAAGTGATGGAAGCGCCGCTTAAAGAAGGGCGTGCATCGTGAGCGAAAATACGATTACTCGATAGAAACTACCAAATTCAATCGGTGTTCGATAGTATTTTTAACGGAAATGTTTGGCGAAACATTAGGAATTGCGAATTTTGTTATTTATAATTTTAATAATATGAATGTGATATTTATTTGTTGATTGCATATAAATATCAATATTACATGTTATTGGACTAAGCTTGTACAAGTTCATTGCTCCTTGCCCTTGCCATTCATAAAAAGAACCTTAAAAACAAGAGTTTACAATGCAATAGAAAAAAGATACAATTTGCAGGCATTGGCAACTGGTAATTAAAGTCGTGCTACCGAAATTTTTTACAAGAACTGATAAGCGGAGACTTGATAAGCGGGAGCAACATTATAAAAAAGCATCTGTGGTACGATATTAGCTGCTATCTACAAGAAATACTCAACTCCGTTCAGCTGGTAATGATATAACCACTGAACATTGTATGGGATGACGCCAAACTCCAACAGAGATCAGTGAGAGACAGGTGGTTTGTAGAAGTAAATGGTGCCATGAAGAATCTGCATGAAGCTATTCTTCTGCTTTTATACTGCTGGACTGGCGGCGTTAGAGGCGTTAACTCAAGGCCCGGACGCATAGTTAATGGACATGAAGCACATGAGGGCGAATTTCCCTACCAGGTAACATTTTGAAATGCTTTAAAATAAAATTTTAATACAAATAATTCCACCACAGATTTCACTACGCCGCCAGATGATTCACATTTGTGGTGCCTCGGTCCTGGAGGACAGCTGGGCCTTAACAGCCGCCCATTGCGTCGAAGGGTATGAGGAGGAACCCAAACTTTTCACCTTACGACTGGGTAGCATTCAACGTTCCAGCGGTGGCAGTATCTTGGAAGTCCGGAATATCTATAGACATCCCATGTACGATCCCGAAGACATGAATTTCGACCTTGCGTTGTTACGTACTGCCGCCAATGCAGTTCGCAGCGTTCCCAATGTGTCACCAATCCGTCTGCCAGAGGCCTCCGAGCTAGTTCCAGAGAATACCGAAGCTATTGTCTCCGGCTGGGGGCATATGAGCACTGATGAGCAGATTCTCTCACCCGTGCTGAAATATACGACTGTGATGACGGTTAATCAGGAGAAGTGTCAAGCTGATTTGAGCGAGCACGGCGGAATTACTGATGCGTAAGTGTAAAAAGATAAATGTGAAGCCACGTGTTTGCTGATTATTGAATATTGAACCAGAATGTTCTGTGCAGCTGCACGTAATACTGATGCCTGTCAGGGAGATAGCGGTGGACCTATTAGTGTTAACGAAACACTCATTGGCATTGTGTCTTGGGGCGTGGGTTGTGCAGATCCATATTATCCGGGAGTTTACACACGTCTTTCTTATCCGCCCATCAGGCGTTGGATACGGTTGATGACCAAATTGTAAATGGAATTTAATTGAAAGACTTCCTTGTGGAATAGTAAATATATATCCAAAAAATGCATTCAAAAGCACATGAACTGACTTATTATTATAAAAAAAGATACTCAATTCACCAATATGAGTCCTAAGCGAGATCCACATTGCTTATCTAATTCAAATGCGAGCGCGCTTTCATTTCCACAGTCTCTCGCCTATCGCCTATCGAAGCATTCGATAGATAGTACTATGTCGTCACCGAGCGCACCACTATAAACAATTCTTATTGGAAAATTTACGCATACCGTTTCGCCTGCGTTTTGTGGCCGTTATTTATACTTTTCTGTTAGTCTGCGCTAAATTCGATTTGGCTTTTAAATTAAGTAAATAGGAAGTATATATAAATAAAAACGAGTCCACTAGAGCAGTGTAACGTGACGGCAACGGTAGCGGCAGCAACGAATCGTGGGAGTGGCAAAGGTGTAGCGGTGGTTGGCGGCGGCAACGCGCATTCTTTTTGGGTAAATTGCAGAAAGTTACAGAAATATCTGAAATATCGAAGAGAAATTTAAAAATAACACACACTAACAATGAAAACAACAACAAACCACTTACAGTCTGGTGCCGAATGAGCTGGCTGCGTTGGTTGTGGCTGTGCCTGAAAATGATTTATCAGCTTTTCTGTTGCTCCATGAGTCTCATCTCATTGCTGTTCAATGTTTTCTGGTTCTGTTGCACGTTGGCCAGCGCCATAATTCCATGGTGTACACTCACACTGCTGAGCATTTGTGTGGCATCCAAATTCGTGAAGTTGCGCACTCCAAATGAGAAGCGTTTGCTGAATCTATTCCACGAGCCGGGTGACATATCCTACTGGCCCATTGCTAATCGTGGTGCCGGCTACGATGCGCCCGAGAACTCTAAAGCAGCAGTGAAAAAGGTATGTGCACGCGTCTGCCAACCGGCGTCCTGATGACGTCGCTTTCGGTGGTTGTTTGCAAAGAACAGCGCGAAAAAAATCAATAACTTCTCCCCCCCTCTTTCGTTCAAACGCAGTGCCTCGCACGTGGCTATCGCAACGTGCTGTTGGATGCCGGCTTGACGGCTTGCGGTGAAATAGTCATTGCCAATCGACAGACCTTGGAGCGCGCAGGCCTTAGTGGCGGACTAGCCCATCACACGCTAGCGGAATTACAAAAAATAAACATTACGGAGCTGCATCCCATGGGGTAAGCATTTAGACGCAGTTATAAATATTTATTCGTATGTAATTTCTTTATTTCTGCGCAGCTCGCAATACGACGCCGAGCATATTGCCACGTTAAAGGAACTTGCCGACTTCTTGGACGAGCAGAGTACTCCGCTAACACTCTTCCTGCACATTCATGACAATAGTGCGCGCATGCTGGAGCGACTCCAGCAGTTTATGGCCAGTCGGGAGCAGTTTAGACAGCGCACAATCATAATTAGTCCCTCACCACTGGCCATTTACCAGGTGCGTAGAAATATAGATCTATGTGTGTGTACCTTATAATTCAAGGTACTGTTGTAAAGCTATAATATATTTTTAAATATAGACATGAATCGATTAGTCTACACGTCCCATAAATATTTATTTAAGGTACAGATAAGATATAAAACTGATAGCAATAAATTGATAAACATTTTCAGAGCAAAACTTTGCGATTTCGCAGAAATAACCTTAACCGTATAAAGGTTAAAAAAGTTGTGTCATTTCCATCTTAATCGTTTGATAGACATTTAATTCTAAAAGTTGATTTTTTTAAATGTTGCATTTGATGGATAATTTTTTTCAATCCTATTTAGCAAATTTATTTGCGACTTTCTTTTAAATAAATTTTTTTAAATACCATATTTTGAATTACTTAATATTATTTTTATTTTTCAAATCATTGAAATCGACTACGACATTTAGCAGTTATCATTTCAGTAAAACTATAGGAATTCTACAAATATAAAGCTTAATTTATAATTTTAGAAATTAGTCCTAATTCTATGAAAGACAATTATTTTTCATCTCGAATAATGGTTCTTGATAATAATAATAACTACTATAAGCAATTTTTAGCAGTCTTCTGGTTTAATTCAAATATAAATGCGACTTTACTATCGTTTTATAAATGGTGTTGTATTTCTTAGAGTTGAAAAACATACTAGGCTGAACAAAAGAAAAAAAATTATTTTATAGAATAAATAATATTTATTAAATACATATATCTTTAAAAAATTGTCGAATTCCACAATTATATCAGGAATGTAGTTGCTCGTAATTTTAATATTAATTAAATTTATTTAAATTATACTTATATTTATATAAAATGATATATTTTCAAACCCTTTGACAGCTCCGTAAGCTACAGCCTGAAATCATTTGTGGTCTGTGGCATGAGACCTATCTATCGCTGGCTATACTGAAATCCTCCACATTGATTACCTCAATTTATGGCGCAGTTTTGCGTAATATAATCGCACCAGTTATTGGGATCAGCGTCGTATTTCTCAGCAAAGAGGAATTTAATCTGTGAGTAACCACATTCTGAACTATCAACGCATTTACCCCAAACAATATACATATGTCTATGTGTGTTTGCAGACATATTGCCGATCTGTGGCGCAATGTGGGCGTGTATGGCGTCTATGTGTATATGGTTAACTCACCTACCGAGAAGCGCTATTTTCAGAAAACTCTGAAAACGCAGTATCTAACGGATTCGTTGCGCTCCGAACCGCATCTATTGATGAAGGCCTAGACAATAATCTATAGATGGGAAGCGAACAAAACTCACAATCGAGCACACAAACATCGTTTGCATTTTTAGCTTTTATACATAATAAGTAGCTTAGTTTAATTTTTACTGGACCCATTCTGTCTTGCGTGCTTCAAATACCTAAGTTATATTATACCAGTTACTGTGTAGCGTCCACTCATTTATAGTATATTTATTTCTGTCCGATCAGATACTTTAAGTATTACCAGTGAAAACGATCTGTATATCTCTATATTATTATTTAATTGGTGCGGTTAGAAATGCAAATAATTTGAACACATATATGAGAGTGTGTTTTAAAAAGTGAATCACAAGAGAGTTTTAATTTGTTGGTTTTCATTAAAATTCAACACATTTTTTTTGTAGCCAAATTATTTGCCTGTGTGAACCACAACTGAAGACGTCCTCTTTTTTGATAATTTTATTTATTGAAAGCTTTATTTAGATACATATTTGCTTTTTAAGAGATTCATATATTTTTTATACTCATTCTCATTATGGCACAAACCCTTTTGTATACACACAATGTTTATAACTATATGGTGTTTTTGATGTGCTATTATATATACTGCTTTTATACTTGATAGGCCAGGACACAGCTACTTACTGATTATTAGTCCTGCTCCGTATACATATAGCCTTAACTGTTCCCAAGCCACACACCAGATTTGATGAATTGATTTGTCCAAGACAATGGTCGAATTACTATTCTTTATTGTAGAAATATGTATGAACACTGTACTATATACAACTGTACGTATTTGTATATTGACGAAAACACGAACATTAGCTATACGATTATACCAAAAAGCAAATAAATTGTACAACATTTACATTTGTGTACTGAAACAAGCGAATAATAAATTAGATAACTATTGACTATAATTAAGACTTCATAAAACCTATTTCAGTTTGCCAAAATTTAATTATAATTTTCTCCGGAGCCTTACAGACAGCTGATCTTACCTTGAATGGAAGTTGTTTTAAAATTATGGATAAATTAAATTTGAAACCGATTTTTAAATAATAATTGAAAACTTATCCGCCCAGTCTTAAAACTAAAATGGCAATATTATTAAAAGAACTTCAAAATACAACGAGAAATTTTGGTTATGATATCGTAATAAATAAAAAGTTTCATTTTAAGAGTGTTTTTGCAACGACTGATTTCATATTACAAGTATTTATAGAAATTAATTTTGGCGGTAAATTGAAAAACGTAACAATCCCCTGCGTCGTATGAGAGCCACCTAACCGAAGCCACTTTTAACATGAAAAGCTGATAAGCTCATATCTTTTTTACAGAAACTAATATTGCTCATCGAAGCCGTTTTAATAGCTAATATTTAGATTATTATACTTGGGGTCCAATGGTGATGAACTAGAACTAAAGGAATACTGTATTGTGGTTTGTTTCGCGGTATCTTTGGGCAATAGAATCATTGCTTATACGTAACTGAACCTTTCAAATAATTGATTATGGTTTACCAATCCCTAATTCGTCACATCTGGCCCCACACAATAAAGAGGAATTTGTTTTACGATAAGCATTTTTGATATATGTATTTCATTTTATATTTTATTGGTATATTTGATGAAAAGGCTTACAGGTCAGCTAAAATGCGTAAATATATTGGTACAAAATTCATACAAAACTGCGTGCGAAAATGGCCGCTTTAAAGTAACTATTTAATAATAATATATTTGGAACTTATAAAGATTAACAATAGGCGTACATACATAACATCTAGGCATCACCAAAATAATTAAATTTGTACAAACGTAAAGTAAATTTTGCAAACACTTCCTCACACATCCAATTTTAGGAAGAGATTAAAGTAGAATAAACAAAATTAAATTAATAACGAGACTAATGTGGTATGCAGAAAAAGGAAACAATTATGAAGAAAAAAAATGCGATGCTATAACATCTTATTTGCGTCGGGAGCGTGTCACGCGTTTCGGAGCATCGCCCACCGAGGGAGGCAATGTCGACAGCTTTGCGGCCTCCTCGGCTGCTTCAAAATGTACCTTTCGTCCACGAGCCGTGCGAGTTGGTACCGAGGCAGTTGGTGTCGCCTCGGCCTCCTCCTCCTGCTCGGCTTTACGTCCTTTGCCGCGTGGCGGTGCACGTTTCTTGCTAGCTGCCACCACCTCTGGCTGCTCATCATCGGTATCCACGTTGGTTGGTTGCGTCTTACCGCGCGCTCGCTTGGATGGAGGCTCCTTATCCGGTGCTTCGGATGAGGCTTTGCCACGGGCCGTGCGTTTCGTTGGCGCCTTCTCCTCCATCGGAGCCAATTCGTCAGCTTGGCTGGAGGCGCTCTCCTTCCGACTGCGTGCGTTGCGTTTGCTGCTCGTTGTCGGCACTGATGCTGCATCCAGCTCCCCACTGACATCTGTCGTCTCTTTGGCAGCTTTGCGACCACGTCCTGAAGTTTCGGCCACTTCGGCGGGCTTGCGTCTTGCGCCACGAGCTTTGCCAGCGGGTGCAGACTCATTTTCTTCGCCTTGCAACACATTCTTCTCGAGTGGCTCATCTTCGACCTGTAGGGCCTTCTTTTCTGGTGGCTCCTCTGTGTCCTCGGCTGCCGCCTTACCCTTACGTCGCTTGGGTGTGCCCGGTCGTGGTGAATTCACTATAAGTTCCAGAGCCTTGACCGTTGGTTGTCTGATGCGACGCCCACGAGTTGTGCTCGGCTTCTCATCATCCGAGTTGGTTTCGTTGTAGTTGCGTCTCGGTATGTTGCGCCCCTCGCGCTTCTGAGATGCCGTTTGCTCTGGTGGCTTAGCGGATTCGCTTGGTTCCGGTGTGGCAGCCTTTGGTGTAGTGGGTTGAGGTGTTGGAATGACGGCCAACTCGGTCTGCTTTATGGTTGCAGTTGCTTTGGCGGTTGGCTTACGGGGTTTGCGAGCTGATGCTGTCTTCTTTTCATCGTCTGAGGTCTCGTCATAGTTCTTGCGTGGCACATTGCGTCCCTCGCGCCGCCGTGGCGAAGACTCATCTTCAGTATTGGCGGGCGAGGAAAGCGGCGCATCCGAGGACCCCACATCCTTTGCTTGCTCAACGGCAGGTGGGGGAATTGTAATCACTTCGGGCGTATGTATTTCAACCACATCGGGTTCCTCTACCACAGCTGATGCTTTACGTCCCCGACGTGCCACTTTCTTGGGTGGCACTGCTTCATCATCCGGCTCTACAGAAGCGGATGCCTTACGTGCCCGCCGTTTTGATTTCTCTGGCGGGCTTGCTGGCGTCTGAGTTTCTTCTTCTTTTTTGTGCTGTGGTTCCTTAACAGCAGCATCTTTTCGACCCCTTCTTGTGGGCTTGGGCACCGCTGCATCGACTGGATCCTCCATCTTTGTTTCCGTCGGGACGACATCTGTTGAAGGCCTACGCCCACGGCGCTTCGGTTTTTCGGCGACTTCGTTGGTCTTGTTTTCTTCTGTCAGTTCTACATCGACAGTAGCTTTACGACCGCGCCTGGTGACAGTTTTCTCTCCAAGTTCAGTTGGGACAGTTAAATGCTGAGTTATCTGTTGGTCCTTTGGAAGCACAGCCCCTACCGCCTCCTCTGCTGAGGGGTTGCGACCACGTCGTTTTGGTTGTTCCTTGGTTTCGAAGACTTCATCTATTTGTGAGAGCGCTTCCTTTGAATAATCTTCAACCTTTTTGAGTGGTATGTTTACTATTGAAGTCTCCACCACGTCAGCTGAGGCTTTGCGACCTCTTCGCTTTGGTCTATCCCCAGACTGTCCTTCCGACTCAACATCTTCCTTTTTCTTTGTTAGTGGAACATCCGTTGCCTCCACCACCTCAGCTGAGGCCTTGCGACCACGTCGTTTTGATTTTTCGGCAACCGGCTGGGATTCAGTTTCCGGATCTTCAAGGATGATTGTTCGATGGGATTGCCCTTTTGACTCAACCTCTTCCTTTTTCTTTGTTAGTGGAAGATCAACAGCTTCCACCACCTCGGCTGAGGGCTTGCGGCCTCGCCGTTTGGGTTTTTCGACTATCGGTTCTTCAATATCAGGAGCTTCAGGAGCGGTTGTTAATCGATCGGTGTTTCCTTTGGAATCCCCTAATTCTTTGTTCTTAGATGGTAGCTGCACAATTTCCTTCTTGGAAGTAGAATCCACTACTTCAGTTGAGGCCTTGCGACCACGTCGTTTAGGTTTTTCATCAACTGCGTTCGCTTCGACTTCAGCTTCGGGCTCTTCAAACACAATTGCTGGAACCTGTACCACATTAATCTTCTTCTTTTCTCCTAAAAGATCTGCTACCTCTGCCACTTCAGCGGAGGCTCCTCTGGCACGACGGGTTCTTTTTTCTATATCTAGCTCACCAGCTTTGTTTTCCGTGGCTGTAGACTCGAGCACTTCTGATGATGCCTTGCGTCCACGTCGTTTCGGTTCTTCGGCTTCATGGGCCTCTCTTTCTATTGCAGCTGAACCTTTTCGTAGAACTCTATTAGCTGGTTTTGGCTGCTCTGCCACCTGATCAACTTTAGTTGAGGGGGTGCGCCCACGTCGCCTAAGTGGTGTTGATGTTGCTGGCATTTCTTCAACGTGCTCTATATTTTCTTCTTTATTTTCGTTTAATTTTTGGGCTGATTGCTTTTTCTCCTCTGAAGCATCTGAAGTTTTGATAGCTTGCTTTGTTTCTGTAGAATCCGAAGTTACTTTGGTTATATCTGTTGCTGATTCTTTAGTAATTTCTAAAGGCGCTACTGGCACCTTATTCACGAAAGCCCTTCGTCCAAATCGACGTATACTCTCAACAGCTGTGTTGTCGACATTTTCCTCATCTCCGCGTGCACGTTTGACCGGCGGAATCTCCTCATCAAGTTTTGTGGAATCTTCAGTTCGATGGGAGCGCTTGGTAGCCTCCTGTGTGTCAGTCGTTTTTGCTGGAGTCTGTTTCTCCTCCTCACTGGATTCCGCTTCGATAAGTAAAACGTCGTCATCTTCTTCTTTGGGAGCTTCAGTCATGTGCTGCTCTGTAGATGTAGTTGTGGTCAGTTTTTCTTCAATGACAATGGATTGATTTTGGGCTTCATTTGGAACAGGTAATATCTGTTCTTCTTCATGATCTGACACAACAGTTTTATTCAGTTTATTCACCGGAACGTTTGTCGTAATGGAATGAGCTTCAACTTCATCGGATGAACCCGCTTTGTTCGTCTTTTCGAATAATCCATTGTCATTATTTTTCGGTTCATCTCGCACAGAAATACTTTTAACACCGGCTTCTTCCATGACCGTAGAATTATCATTTTCCGTATGATTTGTTGCTTCTTTCAACTCTGTAGTCGAATCACTTTCGTCCTCTTTTTTGTGCAACGATGTTTCTGCTTCGATTGCAGTATCAGAAGTTATATTGTGGATAGGACCTTTTTCAGGTTTATCGAGCTCTTTAGCCGCCTTATCACGGAAATCTTTATTGAGTTTATTTGTATCTTTTTTCGAGGTATCTACTATTTCTTCCTCAGTTTCTGTGATTTCATTTTCGACTACATTCACTATCTTTTCGGCATTTTCTTCAACTGGAATATCGTCTGTTTTCAGGGAAGTTTCTTTTAATTTTAACTCAATACCGTCTGCCACAGACAGATTAACATTTTCTTCTGCTTCTGTGCGTTTTTCAATGATTTCGGGAGTCTCCTCACTGTCGTCACTCAGTTCAACGAACTCAGTCACTTTTTTATCGTTTGCCTGGATGTTTTCTTCGATCAATTCGTCGTCACTCGTCAAATCAATTGATGCTTCGTTTGGATCGTTTGTATTTTCAGCTTTTGGATCTTCACTGCTTAGTTCCCCTCTCTCTGGACTATATTCTAATCTAATGCTCTGCTCGGCTATAGTTGGATATGTTGCTTTCTGTACTGCACTTGAGGAAGATTCCGCTCCTATTGCGTCCGAAGATTCTTCTTGAGACCCGGTTGGTTCCTCGTCGTCTGATAAGTCATCGTTTGTCAAATCGATGCTTTCATTAACCGAAATTTCTTGTGCATTTGCTTTCGATTCGTTGAGTCCTTCTTTGGCCACAGCTTGTCCTTCCACATCGATTTCTGCACGTTCGTCTTTATCTTTAGATTTACTTTCTTCTGCTGTAGAATGCTCTGCTGGTTTAGGTATTTCTTCTGCCTTTAATTCAATAACCTCGTGAGTACCAACCACCTTTTCGGCAATAATAGAAACGTCAATCGTTTCAGTTTTACGTTCTTCAGAGGCTAATGTAGTATTTGTATGAGCATCGTCATCATCCAAATCTATTATTGATGATGATGCTGTTGTACTAAGCTCTTGTGTTTCCTCTCCAACAGCTATATTTAGAAGATCGGACTTTTCAACTTCCTGCGGGAGATCGGCTTGTTCTTGGGATCTATCCGATACGTTCGATGAAATTTCAATAGATTCTTTCTCTTCCGTTCCATAAACAGAATGGTCTTTATCAGGTATTGCATCAGTAAGGTCTTTAGTATTTTCAGTTGGTTTCGGTTCTTCATTGTTTTCTAACTCGGTTTCCACAATTTTATTTTCTACGTTCTCCACAGAAGTAAATTCGTTGGCTTCAGGTTCCACTTGCTCTGCTGGCTCAGAAATGTCCAAGATATCATCCTCAGATATTGATTTTGAGACGGCAGTTTCATCATTAGTGGTCACAGATATTCCTTCTATACTGGAAACTTCCGATTGTTCTTGAAGGTCAAATACAAGAGAATTGCTTGCCATTGCATTATCAATTTCCACACTGGCTTTTTCATTAGTCGTCGCAGATTTTCCCTCTATACTGGATATTTCCAATGATTGTTCTTGAAGTCCATAACTAACCGATTGGTTTGCAACTGGAACAGCTTCGTCACTTCCCACTGTAATTTTGTTATGTTTCATTTTGTTTTCATCAACTGAAGTAATTTCCTTGGGTTCAGCCTCTTCTTGTTCGACTGATGTGGTTTTACTTGATGCCGGATTATCCATATTTTCATCTTCATTTTCTTCATTAGTCATCGCAGATTTTCTTCCTATGCTGGAAACTTCCAATGATTGTTGCCCATAACTAGATTGGCTTGCATTCGGAACTGTTTCTTCACATCCACCTACATTTTCAGAAATGAATTCCTTGTGTTCCATTTCTTCTTGCACGAGAGATGTAGGTTCCCTAATTTCAGTTTCAGTAGATCCAATATGCTCTTGTCCGATTGGAGCAGGATCATTCACACTTTCATTTTCTACTATTGATCTAAGCTCAGAACTTTCTTCATTAGTCATCGCAGATTTTCTTTCTATGCTGGAAACTTCTAATGATTGATCTGGAAGGTCAAAAATAGTAGATTGGTTTCCATTCGGATCCGCTGCAGGCGCAGTTTCTTCCCCGCCCAGTTTTGGTTTTGATTCAGGATTATTTATAATATCATCGTCTGATGCCGATATTACAGATGATGTTTCCTCATTAGTGCCAGTTGGTAATCCTTCTGTGCTGGAAGTTTGAAGCGAAACTTCCAATGATTGGTCTGGAAGGTCAGCAATAGTAGATTGATTTCCATTCGAACCCGCTACAGGCGTAGTTTCTTCCCCGCCAAGCTTTGGTTTACTTGTTTCAGGATTATTTGTAATATCATTGTCTGATGCTGATATTATAGCAGATGTTTCCTCATTAGTGGCAGTAGATATTCTTTCTATGCTGGAAGTTTGAAGCGAAACTTCCAGTGATTGTTCTTGGAGATCAAAAACAATAGATTGCTTTTCATTCGAATCCGCTACAGGCACAGTTTCTTCCTCGCTCAGTTTAGGTTTACTTGATTCAGGATTATTTATAATATCGTCGTCTGATGCTGATATTATAGCAGATGTTTCCTCATTAGTGGCAGTAGATATTCTTTCTATGCTGGAAGTTTGAAGTGAACTTTGATCGTTTATGGATACTCCTACAGAGCTTTCTTGTTCTTCTTCCAATTCGACAGCAGTGTTCTCATGCGTCGTTGAAGCTGTTTCCAAAAGTTCATTGGCTTCCACTTTGTGTACATCTCCGTCTGCATCTTCTTCATCTAATTCAATGATTGATTCATCTTCATTTATGTTTTGGTCTTTGGCTTCATCCAATTTTATAACTGAATGATTATTGCTTTGAATTTCACTTCCTGCTGGCTCTTCAATCTGAATACATTCGTTAGATTGTGGCTGCATCGTTTCTTCTTTCTCACCCTCAAATAAAACGGATTCGTTGGAATTCGGTTCGGATGCCTCTTTTAAAGGTTCATCATCGTTAACTTCTTCTATATTGCCATTTTTCTGCTCGTTAACATTTTTAGCTGTCTGATCAATTTCAATTATGGAGGTATCATTGTTATTAGTTCCATCTTCCTTTTTCGCTAGTTGTTGGAGTTCAACGTTTTCAATAGTTGCAGTGGAAGTTGTGGGTTGATTTTCAACTTCAATTTGAGAGACAGCGGATTTATTTGAACTTGTTTCTTTTGTCATTATTGGTTCTTCAGTGAGATCCACTGTGGATTCTGTGATTGTTTCTGGTGTCCGGTTGAGTTCAATAATGGAACTACTATTTCCTTTATCTGATGTTCCTGTTTCCTTTTCGATTGCTGCCGGTTTCTGCTCTTCCTCCTCTTCTTCGTCATCGCTGACCACTAATGGTTCACCCAATCCCAGTGTGGACTCATGCTGCGAATATTCCAAAGTGTTTTCTTTCTCTTCTTGCAGCGTGTAAGTTAAGCGAGCAGTGCTGGTCATTTTTGTTTCTTCCACCGTCATATTTTCCGAATCAGCACCACTAACCATAAGGGGCTCCGAAAAAATAGAATCTGTTGTTTGATCCAACATTTGGATGCCACTCATGTCATTCACATCGTTCGCTGACTCTGAACCGGAATTGGACAACTTGATCTCTCTTGCCAAGTTGGCACCATCAACCGCCTTATAAGCTGTGCTTGTTAGTGGATCCTTCAACGAGGTGCTTGCAGCACAGTTGATGCTCATCAACGCTTCAGAAGAAATGGATTCATTGCGATCAGCATTTGTCTGATCTGCTTCGGGCTCAGCATTTGTATTCAACTTCGAAACAGATAAAGGATCTTCGCCAGCAGCCGTATTGAATGCAGCTACACTTAACTCTGTTTCGGTTACATTGGTGGTAAGCATTGTAGATGACTCATCAAAGATTTTTTCCAATTGCATGGAAGCATTGGTGGAGTTTAAATCGTACTCTGTTGCTGGCACGCTGGCATTTGTGTGGGACTGAAGAAGTGCACTACCCGGTTCATTGGGTATCATAATATTCTTGGCTCTTGGCGTTTTAAAGAACTTATCACACTCCTCGTCCACGATTAGAGATTTTCTACACTCCTGCAATGAGACACGAGCAACAGTCGCACTTTTGGGTGTACCTCCTACATCGTCGGACATTTCCAATAGCTCTTCGATGTTGCCCAATATGGGGGAGGCGTTTACTTTGGGTGTGCGCATCATTTCACGCAATCCCTTGAAGCGTGGAGTGCTGCAACTTTTCGGCGTTTTAAGCATTTCGCGCATACCCTTATAATCGATTTTATCCGGTTCGTCCGACGAATGTATTTCTTCACCATAATCCTCATCCACAGCTGGGGCTGAAACATACATTATTTAATATTACATTGAAAGCAATTGTATATTCTACACACCTTCCAAATCGTTTTGCTCCTCGTGTGCGGTTTCCTTCGCCTCAATTTCCTTTTCAGCTGCTGCAAGTTTAATCAAATTATTAAACACGGTTTATTGGAGAATATTAAGTGTTTGTCACCTTCTGTTGGTTCTCGCTCTTCCACAATCGCACCCATATTGTCAATGGCCTCATCTAGCTGCGCTCCACGCTTGGGTGTACTTAGCAAACGTTTTGAGTAGCGCGTGGGTGTTGCCTGTACGTCATCGGAGAGACGTCGATTGCGTTTCGGTGTTGTAGGCAAGTCACAAGCAGAGCACGAAGCACGGCGTGTTGGCTTATTGGAATTTAGGGCTCCGACAACCACGTCCACAGAAGCGCGACGCGTACTTCGTCTGGGCGTTAAAGTCGCAGAGAAGCGACGTGTGCTGCGTCTTGGCGTGGGATTATCATTGAATTTGCTGCTTAGCTCTCTTACTGTCTGATCTTTTGTAGCTGCAATATTGTCAAAGAACATTTAAGCATTTGTTACCTTTCTTTAAGAAATAGAAACACTTACAATTGGCTGTATTTGTATGCTGTTCGTTTGAGTGCACCTCTTCGCAAAAGCTGTCTTCAATTACCTCATTTTCTGCACATAAAAATATAGCGATTGCACATTAAATTCAACTTTTAAGTTTAAATGAATCCTACCTTCGTTATTTTTGGCAACTTCTGACTCCTTTAATATGACAGAGTTGTTCGCAGTTAATACTTTTCCATAGTTTTCGTCCGCCGGAATTGCTAATTTTTAAAGAAGTTATTTATATATTTTTATGAAAAGAAACCTCCGTGATGCTCACCATTATCATTATGTTCATTTTCCTCTGAGCTTTCTATGCTCTCTAAAGCTGATAAAAAAGAATATCATTTTATTTCTCATGCTGTATTATTATTAATTGTTGCATCTCACCTTCTGTCTGGCCGGGCTTCTCGACAATGATGCCCAAGTCGCCGACTGATTCGTCCAGCTGCATGCCACGTTTTGATTGACGACGGGGCGTCTTAGGCTCTACTGCAGATCCTTCTGTGGGTTTAGAGGACGCTTCTACAGAAGCTCGTCGCATACTTCGTCTGTTTAATTTTTCTGTCAATTGTTCATGCATTTCGTCTAATTCTGTGTCTTCACTATCAACCACAACTGCAATAAGAGAGGTAAATAAATAGCTTTAATAAAACATTCTTGCAATACTACGCCCTTCAAATGCTTACTATTAGTTTTAGGGGTATCCTCTACACTGCTGAGCAGCTCCTCGCACAGTGTTTCTTCTTTATTGCTCGCCGCAGTTGGCGTTGTAACGTCTAAGTTAAAAATGTGTTGTCAAAAAATTGAATTTATAATAAACAAAACAAGCATTTACCTTTCTGATATGTTGAATTTTCCGGCTGCTCTGGCTCTGTTGCTATTACATCAATCTCTAATATATTATCAGTGGTGGTGATATCTACAACATTTTTGGAATCGTTTATTTCTGATGAGATTTTCTTGGTCTCCTCTGAAGCCGATATTTGTGGAGCATCTGAAATATCTTCTGTTGCTTCTGTTGCCTCGATTAATTCGTTTTTCTTTGTAATGTCTTGTTCTTCAGATGGTTTTGCCGCCAAGTCAAAAGTAGTCGAAAGCTCTTCAGATTGCACGGCATCTTCGGGCTGTACCTCTGCTGTTGTTGTGGTTGTTGTTGTTGAGACTTCCGCATTGCTCAACTCAATGGTTTCATTAAGGTTTCTATCGTCTAACGACGCTGCCTCTTTGTTTTCAAGGACCGCCGTCTCTGCTTCAATCCCGGAGGCTTCAATTGTTGAATTATTAGCATTCGCAGTGTCTTCGATTAAGTTCTCGAAAAGATCTGCTTCGGTGGCCACATCTTCCGCTTCAATTTCTTTCTCTAAAATTTCCATATCAATAAAAGCACTTGGTTTGGCACATTCATCAATTTTAAGGCTCTCTGAATTATGTTGTTTAAGTTCTGTGTCCTGTTTCTGATCGTCTCCTTGGGACTTCTCTTTGCTGGTCTTTTGTGCTAGGAGTTGTTCCATTCTATTAAGGAGCTCTTTTGTGGAATTTTCCTCATCTTCATCTGCTAGAATGGCTACCACAGGTTTTGGTTCAGCCTCTTTGGAGCCCCCATTATCCAAAACAGCGCATTCGTCTTCATCATCAATAATGAAAGTGCGACTAAGTTCGGCAGATGTTTCGGCATCAGGCGTTGACATTTTATCTTCACAAAAACTAACTGGTTTTGTATCTAATGCATAATTTGAAGGTGTTTGTTTCGCTGGCTGCTGTGACAGAAAGTTTGAAGGCGAGCTGCGTCCTGGCGAGTTAAGGGATTTTCGTGCTTTAGCCACCAGTTTGTTGGACACATGGTGTGGTGAGGTGCGATGAACAGCCGCCATTGATTTGCGCAATTGTGAAACTTTATTATCCCGAGGTTTAGCGGCTGCCAAGGATTTGCGAGGTAGCGTTTTCTTGATCGAGGAATTCCTATCCGGATGGAAAGGCAATCTACGAATGGGCGTTGAAAGACTTTGACGACGTGAGTTAATAAGCGCATGCTTTGCAGCCAAATTCTTGGGTGTTACTGTGCCCGGAGTGGCTTGCGTTGTTAACTTTTTAGCGCTGGTTAGAAGTGCTCGCTTCATCAGCGACTGTGGAGTGCGTTTGGGGGTTGAGGCGGCTGTCTGCAGTTGCCTTTTAGGTGTTACAACTGCATGTTTGTCCGGTCCAGCCGAATCAGTTATGCTTATGATCGATGAGGTCTTTGCCGATTCGACCGAAGAGTCCACCACAACAATGGGTGTGCTTTCGCTCAATGAGCTGCCCGAAGCTGGCGTTGAAGGTGTCTTGAGCACAGGAGCCAAACGTTTGGGCGTTGTTAAATCAATTAAATACATGGACGCCTTTGGTTTGGCCGCCAGCGCCTTCTTTGAGGTCGATGGTGTGCTGAAGTCCATGAGATCCCGACTGCAGCTCTCCTCGTTCAGTTCAGAGAGCACACTTTTCGGCGTGCTGTAAACACTCTTCGGCGTTAAGGCCGCGACATTTGGACTGTTTGGCTTGCAGATCCGCGTGAACGATTTCTCGATTTTGATACCCGTCTCACGGGGCGAGAATGATGTGATCACCATGTCGGAGCGCGCACACAACTGCAGAATAATTTTATTGCTGGGCGTGCTGGTATTCTCCTTGTTCTGTGTCGCTTCGAGCAAATCAATTTTGGGTGTATCGTCGGCGATTTGTGGTGTTGGAAGTGTGTCGCAACGCTCCTCATCTTTACTGGTGCTGATATCTAGTAGAGCATCGCTTTCGTTACGCGACTCGATGGATGTGTTTCCCTCATCATCCGAGTTTATAGAGTAGCGGAAGCTGTTGAAAAGTTATTAGGGTTTGGTATAATTAAATTAGTGGTTTATAATTTTAACTGATAGTAATAGTTTATAGTAAATACGTCAGCAAAGCTATTAAAAAAGCAATTTAAAAAAATTGTCTTTAAATTAAATTAAAACTCTCGAAAAAATGTTATGAGAATCAAGTTAAAAAAAAGTTTGTTGAATGTAAGGAAATTCTTATCTTAATACGTTGCTAAATCTTAAATTTATGTGTGCATATATTTTCGATCACCCTAAAGGGGCTGTCAGAAATAAATAGGCAAGCATTTCGTGCTCTTTTCCCATAAGGCAAAATCAAGTAGTGATATCGAAGTGTGATATAAATGTACACAACATATGACAGAAATATGTGACGCAATAACAATTTCGGGGGTTAAAAATGCCAAAACAATTGCTTACTCTCTTTCTACCTGGCATGCGTTACTTACTTGTGAACGGTCATACGATTGGCAACCAGAGCTCGATTAGTCTGTAAGAAAAAAAGAGACGCGAGAAACATCAGCGACTGTACGTTGACTTTTTAGAAACTGAACCTTACCGCTCTGCCTGGACAGGAATTCGGCGCCTGTTCTGCCACTCGGTCTGGCTGGCGTTCGGGCGTTCTTGGTTCTGAATCCATGACATGTTCGCATTCGCTGACCTTGGGAAAGTCCCAGGTGTAGACCTCATTCAGAATCGTTATCTGCGCGCCATGCAGCAGCGGGCGTTTGGTGTTTACCAGCTGCCCGTCGAGGAGAATGGGTTTGGTGAGCGAATTATTACGAATGGTTACCTACAAAACATCGGGACATTATCAGTGCAAATTGAAAATCGATAAAGTCGGCTTCTTGCACCCTCACCCTGCCAAATGAGTCGCATTGTATCTCGCAGTGCAGACGATCTGCATCGGCCAGCTCCAAGTCACTATCTACGTAGGAGCCAATAATGAACTTGCGTCCTTTGGCTGGATGGGCTTCCGACACGCCTGCGGCATTGACATGCATCAATTGCGCGCCATCCAATGACATCTTAACAACCTGTTTATCTTTGGAGCTTTAGCAAAAAACCGCCTACTTTTGTAAAAGTGTGAGGCGGCAGCTGCAGCCGCCAACTTTCGCTTGTTAGTCCAAAAAAAAAGGAAGCCGCAATCGTGAAATCGAACGCAGATTAATTGTCACATCCACTGTTGAATTATTCACTTTGTTCTAAGTTTACTTTTTCGAACTGCATGTGGCAGATCTTTTTATTTGCAATACTTTAAAATTGCATTAGTTTTTCAACAATTTTTGCGGCCCGGTGGTCTTTCAGTGCAGGAATTTTTTCGCAGTAGAGGGACGCGCACTTTAATACCAAGCCGACTATTTGTTGATTTGACGCCGTTGTACAGCGTTAAATTCAAATTCAGACAAATCGTGCTGCCAACTTTTCGTTGACTCTCGATAATTTCAAATGTATCGATTAGGGCGTGCTTATCGTTCACTTCACATCACCATTAAAGATTTGTCGGCTTTTCGCACACAAAAGCAACGAATTTCTTTTTTGTAATTTAGAGAAAAATGGATACAGATGCCGCACAGAAAACATGGGAGCTGGAGAACAACATACAGACGCTGCCCAGTTGTGATGAAATCTTTCGCTACGATGCCGAACAGCAGCGCGAAATAATTGATGCCAAGCCATGGGAGAAGGATCCACACTACTTCAAAGATATTAAAATATCAGCGTTGGCTTTGCTCAAAATGGTAATGCACGCCCGCTCCGGCGGCACACTCGAGGTCATGGGCCTAATGCTAGGCAAAGTGGAGGACAACACAATGGTGAGCAGAATCACTAAATAATTCATCAGATTTTTGTAATAATAAGCGCTTTATGGTTTAACAGATTGTAATGGATGCCTTCGCATTGCCCGTGGAGGGTACAGAGACACGTGTCAATGCACAGGCGCAGGCTTACGAGTACATGACTGCCTACATGGAGGCGGCCAAAGAGGTGGGCCGTTTAGAGCACGCTGTCGGCTGGTATCACAGTCATCCCGGATATGGTTGCTGGCTGTCCGGCATAGACGTATCCACACAGATGCTCAATCAAACCTATCAGGAGCCTTTCGTGGCTATTGTGGTGGATCCTGTGCGCACGGTCTCTGCTGGTAAAGTTTGTTTGGGCGCTTTTCGCACCTACCCCAAGGGCTATAAGCCACCAAATGAGGAACCATCGGAGTATCAGACGATCCCATTGAACAAAATCGAGGATTTCGGCGTGCATTGCAAGCAGTACTATCCGTTAGAGATTAGCTACTTCAAGTCGGCGCTGGATCGCAAGCTATTGGATTCGTTGTGGAACAAGTATTGGGTGAACACATTGGGCAGCTCGGGCCTCTTAACCAATACAGAGTATACCACCGGTCAGATCATGGACTTGTCCGAAAAACTGGAACAAAGTGAAAACTTTCTAGGTAGATTTACTTAGCTTACTAATTTCTCTATTTATAATCTAACTTTAATAATAACTTCAATTCCCACAGGCACTGATGTCAATGAAAAACGTTCCGAAGACAAACTGTCCAAAGCTACACGCGACTGCAGCCGCTCGTCTATTGAGCTCATTCACGGCTTAATGGCTCAAATTGTAAAGGACAAGCTCTTCAACAAAGTTGGCCTAGGGAAATAAGCCGATTCATTGCAACAAAAGGATCCACTTAGGTTTTCTTTTTTGCTTTTGAACAGTTTAATGTGATTCAGTTAGCCTTCTTTAAATTTCTTTTATACTTTTGGGGTCAATGTACTGAAGTTACCAAAATACATGCATACATATACATATATGAAGCAAGTAAGCTGATAATTCAGTTATCTCTATTATTCATCCATATTTAAGTTTCCATAATTTTTATAACTAAATATTTTTTACTTTATTACTATCGTTTTTACGATGCTATTGCGTGTGAAAATACACACAGCACAAACCTATCAGCTTGGAGGTGGAAATCGCGCGCCAACCTAAGTCTATACAAGACGGACTTACCATATTTTGATGCCATAGTGCAACGCTATTAACTAGAGATGGTCGCGTGAAAAAATAATTTACCCTTGTTTTGGGAATCAGACGGGACCATCAGTTGTCGTCTCTGAATAGTATTGGTAATTCTGGAATTTATTTCTAATTTTGATTCTCGAAATAGATAAAATTACGTGGAATCGAAATTGGCATTGGGTTCAATTTCGAAGAACTATTTACTACATTTAGTATTTGTTAATTTGCCGTTTTTGAAATGCCAGAACTCCATCGTTTTTGGAATCGGGATTATTTGTTATTTGGTATTTCGCACAATTCAATAAAATTAAAATAAACCTTAGTGCACTGCTGCGTATATATTGTTTGCTAATACAGCTCTTCAAGACTCTACCTCACGGTCACGCGCCTATCATTGAGGTTCCGTTTGGCTGACAGAAATTGAAATTGAATTAAGCCACTGCGTGTGGCGAGAAAAACAGCAGAAAGCCTGCAAGACCGCACGCCACTTTTCGAGGCATCGCTTCGTTTTGTCAATTAATTTCACTTTTTTCCGTTAAGTGGCAGGAAAAACAACACCAACAACAATGGCCATTACAACAATGATAATGCCGCATCAGGCTGTCGAAGAAGCGAACCCAAAAGCAGGCCTAATTAACTGTACTGTTATGTTTATGGCGGCACACCGAAGTGTGCGCGTGTCGCCAACAACCGCAGCACCCATCCGCCCACTCCACAAACACATTGAAGTGCGAGCTAAGCATGACAAATTTTTTGTTGCATACCCCCAGGAGCTCAAATATAAATGTAAAAGAATTTTTCGCGCATTTTTTGTTGTTGTACAATGCTGGCTATTGACATATTGAGTAACACTTTAAGCGGGCAACATTTCAACATGGCTCTTCTATTTTCTTTCCTCGTTTATTCGACACACTTTCCGCTGGCCTTTAAACTCTTGAACCCATTGCGAATATTATCAATATCAGCTTGGCTTTGCATGTTCTGACCATAAAATTGTCTACATTTATTTGTGCGCAACCATAAAATTCAGTAAACGACGATATGAAATCGCGGCATACGTCGTAATGCTGTTAAATTTCCCAACAATCCACTTGAAATTGCTTTAAAACATAACCAGCATCAACAGCTTGTGTGTGTATGTGTTTGTGTGAGTTTGTGAAGCGTGTATGTGTGTGTGAATTTGGCATACCATCAAATACAGAAGTAACTAAAGAAACCCACAAAGGGAAAGGGCAACACAATGATACATTTCACACACAGCAAATAAAAGCAGGGACGGGCACAATTAAATCGAAAACGAAAATTTAGCTATGGAACTAGTTACTCGGAGACTTGGTTTTCTTTCGAAAGAATCTACATATATGTATATTTATAAAACTCTTTCTGAATAATACATTTGGGCTTTTTTTTAATAAATATGAAGTTATTGGAAGCCAATGTTGAAAAAACAAAACCGTTTTTAAAAGATGCCAAAGTTAAATTATATTTAAATGAAAGTTGTAAAAACATTGGTATATAATTTGCTGGTCTGTTTTATTAAAAAACGGATGATTAATTAAAATATTACATCCTTTTTAAATTAGAAGTGTTCTAAAAGAGTGCTTTCAGACTTTGGTTGTCAATTTCTGAGTACTGACACGGTTGCTTCGATTATTTTAATATTTAATTCTGAAAAGATAGAACTACTTAGGGTTTTTTGAGTTATTCGCCAGCTCATTGATTTGTTTTTAGCATATTGAAGAAATTTATTTTATAATTTTGTATTTAAAAAATTGAAATTGAAACTGCACCTCCAGAGCTTCCCCATTTTTGTGCAGCCCTATTTAAACTGTAATTCAGTGGGATCTAAAAGGACAATATTCCGCACGGAATGCTAAGAACGCATGAAAGCCAACACGTATGCATGTGTGTGTGTGTGTGTGTGTGTGCCAAAAAAGTAACAAAAATAAAGAGCCTGAGAGTGTGTGTGTGAGAGAGAGAGAGAGAGAGAGAGGGAGAGTGTGAGATGAAAAAACTCCTTTCTAGATACTTTATCGAGAAGTAAGCGTCAATTGACATCAACAAGGAGCGAACGCAAAGTGCCAAGGAGCAACAATATGAAACACAATGCTGAACACGCAAGGGATAGATAGGGGAAGGATGGCGGGGGGCGACTACAAACACAAGAGACAGTGTGTTGCGTGCGGGTGTGGGTGTGGGAGGAGCGGAAGTGAAGGCGTTCAAAGCATTCTCGCCTATAAAAGGACGTTCGCCATACGACACGCACTTCATTCGCACAACGAGCGCGAACTGAAAAGCTCGTAACGGTCCGATGCGAAAGCCAGAAAGCATCCTCGAATCCGGTAAAAAGCAGAATTAGTGCAAAAACAACAGCTGAAGCGTGCGGTACAAACAAAATAGAAGCGGCAGCTGCTGGAAAATAAATCCGAAAAAAAAACCGAAAACAACCACAACTCAAAATAAAAATAATCAAGTGAATAAAATAAAACAAAACTCCTGTGTGTTTTTGTGAAGCGCCAACAGGCCTCTGGGCATCATAAATACACACTTACATTACATATGTACGAGTATGTTTGTTTGTTTGCTCGCTTTTTTGTCTGTGTGCGTTTGCCAAATTATAAATAAGTAAATAACACGCAAATGCCGTGAGCGTGAGCCTAAATTTAAATTTGCATTCCTTTCAACAACAACAACAACAACATCAACAACAAGAGGTGATTTAATGTTGTTTTGCTTTTGCTTCTGCCTCTGTTACCGTTTCGTTGCCAGTTTAAAATTAAAATTGCCAGCGCGAACCTGAAACATAACGGCATTGGGAACAACACAACAACAACAACAACATTAGTACAACAACAAGTATGTAAGTATGGTTTCTTGTACAAGTAGCTCCTACCCCACATACATACATACACATTGTATATATGCTAATTTGTGTGTTAAGTGGCTTAAAGTCAAGAAGCCCGAAAAATTTACTTTTAGGATATTTGTTAAATGGATGCTGGCACTCAGAAAAATTCTTTCAAAGGTCCTTGATTAAATAAATAAATGAAGTAAACTAAAATACCTGCATTTCACTTCAAATTTAATATAAGAGAATTTCTTTCTTGGAATTAGAATTAAAAAGTAGTCAGAAAAATTAATTGAAGAACATTTATTTGCGTAAATGATTTTGTTAAATTATGGATTATATATTTTGTAAAAACAACACAATTTTTGAAAATTATTTTCTTACAACTTTTTTATTTTACAAAACTGCTTTATTATCACAAAATATGATGTGAAAACATAGAAACAAGAAATTATTTTCCTAAAGCAAGCAGCAAATTTTTTACCAAATAGCTATTTAAAATCAAATGAAGAAAATTATATTGTTAAATTTTTCTTAAAAAGGCGAAAATGTGATTCAAAATAAGCATTTCTATCCAAAAATAATGGCAATATATTCTCGACAAAACACAATATTATTCTTAAAAACGAGAGTTTCACTGAGTTTAAATGACTTTCTGACAAACAATTTAAAAAATTTTTTTTTAATTGATTGGATTTTTTTTGAAATATAAATTAACAACAATTAAAGCCTTTCGGCAACACTTCAACGCAGATTCCATTAGCAATGCCTTGATTTAATTATACAATATCAAGTGGTATTCTAAGGTAAATAACGCACCCTACCACAAAACCGAATGTCTTCCCATCAATGTTATTCAATTTCCTGGTGCTCTCAAGCAAATCCCTCTCAATTGTGTTAAAAAGTCACGCTTACTGCACCCAAAATTGGCGATGCCCGAGGAAATATTAAAGCGAACTTATGAGCTACCTTCGAAAGCTCTAACAAATCGCTTTACGACGACAATTGAAAAGTAAACATCTAAACTTTTCCCAGCAGCCCAAAGAAAAAGCAACAGGAGTCATGGAGAAGTCAAACAATCGGCTCAGCGTGCGGTTGTCATTCTGAGTACGTGAGTGCGCACCCAAAATGGCAGTGTCTTGGCAAACAGCAAGGACATGGCCAGGACACGCGTGCCTGACGCCGTCGTTGGCGCGTAAAACCAAATTAAACTGTCGCGACAATAAATCAAAAGACGAAGCTCGACACGACACGTCGTGTGGCAAATGAAAGCTGAAATTTCTTCAAGCGGCTTAACTTTGTTCCCAAGCCTTAAATGGCAATCGCAACATATACATGTGGGCAGACCACCTTCTCAGACTCAGACTCTCAGCCCACCACACATGGTCCAGAGAAGTGAATGATACGAAATTTTTATGCTTGACGTATTGGCTTTGAAAGGCCTTTGGTGGTGGCATGGGTTATTCACTTTAGTTTACGTTGTCTTAAAACGAAAGTTAATCAGCAGACTACGATTTATAGCTCTAGACAAATCTGTTTCTGCACACTAAAAGCCAACAAGGCGTATGATTGATATTAATGATATGAAATTCCTAAACGCAAGCCATATAAATATATATATATAAATTTGTGGATATATTAGCTTACTTGTAAATACAAGTAAGCTAATATATCCAAAAATTGTTTGCGGTTTTTTACTACGGTATGATGAACGATTTCTTTTGAATCCTTTTTCCCATAAAGAGGGCCAAATATTTCTTGAAGCATTCTTTTTTTAAGCATGAACATTTTTGTTGTTTACCGACCATTGTAATTGATGTTTTATGCTTGCAGGCTTATAATTCTTCAGCTGATTGTTTTAAGTACAGTAATGTATACTTGTAGTTATAGCCACCGCGACCACGTAGAAATAAATGAATGAAATATAAATTGAAAAATAATTACATAAATGTATGTTATGTGTTTTAACAAAGTAAATGGACATGGCTTAAACTATCTGTCATTCAACAACATTTACGTTGAACTACATCGCTTAATACTCAGCCGAATCTTCCCCAGAGCGTACATGATTTTTTTTTTATTCATTTAGGAGGTCTTTTGATTGATTCTCCTGTAAATGCCCAAATCTTATTTAAATTATCAATCAAGTTTCATTTATCTATTTCATATAAATGCTTTAGTAGATTTTCTGAAAGGAAGGTTTTCGGATATACATATGTATGAGTCCTCTTTAATTTCGAAAAGATACGTTGACATTATAAATACACAATAAGTACCTAATTGCTAACCTATTTTTTTTGGGTTTAAGTTACCACGATGCCCTTAGGTATTGTGGGATTATTTGGCTGCCCACTTATATGTAGAGTTGAAATTGCCACGCGGGTTCCTAATAACTTGGTTAATAGTTTCTTAATAGCTAACTAACATGCGATTTTTAGTAAACATATTTACACATCTTGCCATTTCCAATTGCTGATTGAACAGTGAAAAATAATACTAATGAAAAAATAATTATTTATCAACGTTCTACGATTGCTCATAATATATAAAAGACATTAAAATATGCTCGTCATTAAATAATAATAAAAACCTTAAAATCTTTACTTTCAAACATTTTTGTAGTAAACATAAAAAGTTTGTAATAACTATATCAAATAATTTATCATATGAAAAATATGAAAAGTTGCTTCATTTTGCTGCTTGGTTTATCTTTTCTGTAAATTTCTGTAAATGAGAAATGTTCAGCTTTAACTTTTTAACTTGGCCAACTGCTGCCAATTGACTGAAGTTTTGTTGAGCAAGTATTTGCCTTCAACGCTTGGCCAATAACCTGCTGTGTCTGATGAGAAAACTTTCTAACATGTTGCCTAATACCGGTCCCGTTAACTTTCTTATTTTCTCATTACAGAGTGCGACACCTTTAGCCCCACCCGCTTAGATTTTGTTAAAGAAACGCCAGGATGTATGGCATGTTGTATGAGAGTGTGCAGCACTATGTGCAGGAGGAGTATGGGAAGGAGGTGTGGCGCAAGATATGCCAGATAGTCGACTGCCGGCACAACACATTCAAGACGCATCAGATCTATCCGGATAAGCTGATGCCGGACTTTGCGGCTGCCTTGTCCGCCTGCACCGGCGAGTCCTTTGACTCTTGCATGAACTTCTTCGGTCGCTGCTTTGTGCGTTTCTTCAGTAACTTTGGATACGATAAGATGATACGCTCCACGGGTCGTTATTTCTGTGACTTTTTGCAGAGCATCGACAACATTCATCTGCAGATGCGATTCACTTACCCTAAGATGAAGTCGCCGAGCATGCAGCTGACCCACATGGACAACGATGGAGCGGTCATACTGTATCGCAGTGGACGTACAGGCATGTCCAAATACCTGATTGGCCAGATGACGGAGGTGGCTAGAGAGTTCTATGGATTGGAGATAAAGTTGTATGTCATTGAGAGTCAGAACGATATTAGCGGCGGAACCGCAGGTCCCATTAAGCTGACGGATGGCCCCTTGACGGTTGTGGTGAAATATCGAATGGACTTTGATAATCGGGAATATATGGCCAAGCGTGTGAATGTTGTGGCCCATCCGACCCAACTAAAGCTGCCAACAGTGAACTTAAATGTTTTTCTGGAGCTCTTTCCCTTCACCATTGTGCTCAATCATGACATGAAAATAACTAATGCGGGTGAGAAAATTGTGGAGACCTGGATATTGCATAATCCTGGCGCCAATCCTAAGCGCTTCATTGGCTCCCAGGTGATGGATTTGTTTAAGTGTCGACGGCCGAAGGACACGACCATCACCTGGGAGACCATACAAAAAATGAAAACGGTTCTATTCGAGTTCGAGCTTATACGCACGGGCCACAATCGTGCCGCTTACGATGTGGCGCTGAACATGGATTTCGACGATCTGGACGACATGAAGCTGAATGAGGCACAGGCCATGGCATTGGCCAATGCGCAGGAGTTTAGTCAGGAGCATGCAAGTGATGAGGTCACTGGGGAGAGTGAAATTGATCCGGCCACTGGAGAGCGTCGTTCGTCGCAAGGTCTGCGCTCCATTCTGCTCAAGGGCCAAATGTTTTATCTCAAAGATGTGGACTCATTAATTTTCTTGTGCAGTCCACTGATCGAAGATTTGGATGAGTTGCACGGCATTGGTTTGTACTTGAATGATCTCAATCCACATGGTCTCAGTCGTGAGTTGGTGATGGCCGGCTGGCAGCATTGTTCCAAGCTCGAGATTATGTTTGAGAAGGAGGAACAGCGCTCCGATGAGCTAGAGAAGTCGCTGGGGTTGGCCGATTCATGGAAACGTCAGGGTGACGAGCTATTGTACTCGATGATACCGCGTCCCATTGCCGAGCGTATGCGCAAAGGCCAGGAGCATGTATGCCAGAGCTTCGAAGAGGTGTCCGTCATATTTATTGAAGTGTTGCATGTCTACGACGGTGGATCGAACAACATTCAAGATGCCATGCAGGCGGTCAATACGCTAAACAAAGTTTTCTCCGCCCTCGATGAGGAGATCATATCGCCATTTGTGTACAAAGTGGAGACTGTTGGCATGGTGTACTTGGCTGTTTCCGGTGCACCAGACCAGAATCCCTTACATGCGGAGCATGCCTGCGACTTGGCATTGAGGGTAACAAAAAAAGTTAAGGGCCACAACTTACCGGATGTTGCCATCAGATGTGGCATTAATTCCGGGCCAGTCGTGGCGGGAGTTGTTGGCCTGAAGGTGCCGCGGTATTGCCTTTTTGGTGATACCGTCAATACGGCCTCGCGCATGGAGAGCAGCTGCGATCCGTGGAAGATTCAACTATCATCGTATACGGCGGAGAAAGTTAGCAAGGTGGGCTATAAGGTGGAGTCTCGTGGTTACGTCACTGTCAAGGGCAAGGGTGAAATGGAGACCTTTTGGCTTCTGGAAGGACCACCGGAATAAATTCAATTCGACCAATTTACAGGCAAATATCAGCTTAAATACAAAGGCAATTAGTTTTAAGCTCTTTACACAGCACTCTGTACCACACATTGTATGTAATTGTGAACTTTATTCACCGCTGCAATAAAAAATTGAATTTAATGTGTGTTTTTCATAATTAACGTATATATTCTTTGGTGCATGAAAGTTTCCAGGATACATAGTTTATAATATCTATCGATTTACCGATTTATTAGGCGTCGATAGTTTTCTGTTGGCGGCAAAAAATTGCACACTCCTAAAGTGACTAAAAAGTTGTTTTCAATTGAATCAAATCAGGTTTTAGAGATAAGATTAGAAATTTGTTGAAAACATACATATGTACATATGCATACATAGATGACTTGCAAAAAGATGTTAAAATTTAATTTAATTGTGGCTGTGTGTGATAATTTTGGTATCGGCATTAGAGGTGACCTGCCCTGGCAAATTAAGTAAATAATTAAATATTATATCCAATTTGTCAATAACTTAAGTTTACTTCAGGTCTGAGCTAAAGTATTTCAGTCGCACCACAAAGCGCATTAGTGACCCTACGAAGCGGAATGTCGCCATTATGGGTCGTAGAACATATTTCGGCATACCTGCCAACAAGCGGCCACTGCCCGAACGCCTTAATATTGTGCTGAGCACTACACTTAAGCACGATGATCTGCCGGATGATGTCTTACTGTTTCCCAATCTGGAGTCTGCCATGCAGCATTTGGAGAGCGTTGATTTAAAGGATGAAATCGAAAATGTTTGGATTGTTGGTGGCAGTGGTGTATATGCTGAGGCAATGAGTTCGCCACGCTGTCACCGCCTTTACATAACCAAGATACAGCAGCACTTTGAGTGCGACACGTTTTTTCCCAATATACCCGCAAGCTTTCGAGAAGTCTCGCCTGATACGGACACACCGTTGGGCGTGCAGGAAGAAAATGGCATTAAGTACGAGTACAAAATTTTGGAGAAACAATAACGAAAATAAAGCCTTTATTTCGGTGTTGCACCGCGCACATCGTCTGCTGTTATTGTATCACCATTAAGTGCTTTTGTGGCCAGCATTAGCTCATAAAGCTGTACGACTTGGTCATCCTTCAGCATTTCTACCGCACTTGGATCGAGTTGCTCGCCCAGCTCCCCTTTTGGCTTGCCCCGCAGGCCCAGCTGTTTGGTTATAGTAGAAGCGTATCGCTATGATTGGGCAGATGGAAATTAATACAGTACGTAAAACTTACTTAACTTACGTAAAACTTACCGCCCATTCTGTCATGAATAGCTGTGCTTCCATTGGATTGCATTTGAGATGCCGGCGGAACTCGTCGCGCACATAATTGTCACCTAGAGCACGCAGTTCTGTGGGCAGGCCTAAAAGAGAGAAGGTGGAGCTATTTTATATTGCGCCTGTTATTTGACCATTTGGCTGCAAGTTCTCACCGCGATGTAGCCGCAGAATTGTTTTGTACAGCAAGCGCACCCGTTGTGGGTGTGTCAGTTGATTCAGAGTTATTTTTGACATTAAGTTTATTTTATAAAACAAATATTTATGAGACTTCGAATTTGTTTAGAATTGTATGAAGGTATCATAACAAACCGCTCTAACCGAAGCTCAACAGCTGTTTGAGGGATGGGCCTACCAACTCGCATTTAAAAAAAAAATTGCGTGATTGAACAGTCTGGCAACACCCTTTGAACGAAAATTTGAAATTTTTCTTTTGTGCATTTCAGACAATTTTAAACTTAATAAAAGCGTTTGTAATTGTCATTGCAAATTTATATTTCACTTAATTTTCCACAACATTTGTAGCATGTAAGTAAATATTTAATCACATGTGCACTGTAAAGTTGAAGTTACCAAAAAACGTAGCTTAGAGACAAAATCAATGCGTAATGGAACTCTATAGAAACCCAATAATAATTAATAATTCATGCACACACACACTTGAATTAACTTTGGCTAACTATTGCACGCCGCGTTACTCCATAAAATGGATCGCTGTTAATTGTGCCTATATAAATGTCTAATTGCCGTTACTAATTTGATAGGCAGCACCAAGTGCATTTCTTATTTGTTGTTGGTGGCGGAGGGGTACAAACTTTGTCATCGTCGTCAAATGCTGTGTAAGGCGAGCCCAAAAACAATTAGTATTACTTAGTAACAATAATGCCTTTGCTTTTGTTATTGCGGCGGTGCGGCTGCCGGCTGTGCTAGACGCTCTCCGCCTTCCTGTTCCTGATCGGGCGGATTTAGCAATGGTTGACCTTCGTCGCCCCAAAGAAAGCCACCGGGTCGATCCTCAGCAGCTGCTTGATAGTTGCGTTCAATGTGCTCGTTAAAAAGTCGCTTTCTGCAATATTTAAAAGAGAATTATTAAAGACAAGAATGATTTTCTAATGCTGGCTACTTACAGGAAGTATGGCGTCTTAATCAGTCTGTATCCATTTGATAACTGTGGATAGACATCCTCCAACACATAGTAAATATGTCCGACGCCCATGCCGATAATATCCACCCACACCGTATTACCCAGAATCATGGAGCAACACAGTAAAACCCAAGGTAAATAGGGCGCCTGCAAAGTCAAATGTGTAAAAATTAGTCCATACTTTTTACGAACTGCAATCTGATTATCACCTGAAAGTTGAGAACGCCGAAAAAGTTCATAGGCACCAGAGGATTTCGTCGAGACCACACATAAACCAACATTAATGTAAACGCCTGTCCCAGGAACAACAAATTAACGAAAATGCCAAAGAAAGTCATCAGCACACCACCGAATATGAACATCATAACAAAGTCTGAACTTCGCCCACGGAAGGAGCCATCCTCCAACATCCGACAATAGCGATATGTGAATACCATGTTGAAGAAGAAGCTAATGCCAATTGTACCAAAGTAAAGGAATGTTGTGGCTAGGCGCCAGACCTGAAATTTGCGCACTATCAGCGTTGGATTGAAGTATAATTGAAGTGGGGACACCAGATCCAGATGCTAGTCAAAGACAGAAACAAATAGTTAGGAATGCATTACACGTCAGCGTCCACAATACGAGTTGTAAGACGAACTTTATAAGGATTACTTACCACCGCCAGTGTGGTGAGCACGCAGACCGTGGTGTAGGCCCGTGTCACTACGGGAATCTCCATATAGAACTGACGCAGCGCATTCATTTTGGCTGTGAGCCGGGGCCTGTTTGTTTAAGGTATTGTAATGGCTTGTTGTTGATGGAGTGGATATTGAGCCTTTTCTGTCATCTGCTATAGCTATTACACTTTGATTTCAGTGTTCTTGGTGCCCAGGATCTGCATGCGTTATGATATTGTGCTGAAGTGTCGTGCGCGGCAAGAAAATAAAATAATGATTACAGCTGGATGGATACCAGCTACGCGTCGTTGTTTTCACCGATGAACCCACAGCTGTTTTTATGTATTCGATTTAGCATCGTTTATCTGATAAGTGAGTATCGATTTCTATATAAGTAACTGCAATGGACTTCCAGTATTGTCATCGTGGTTGGTATTCAAATAAAAACCAACTGTTTTCTAAATCTTCGGTATATACTAAATATTACAGAAACTAGCATTGTAGGTGGCCCATGTTAATGGACCACTATGGAATCGAATGGTAAAATGTTCTGAGGAAACAGGAAAATTATTACCGTATGTGAAGAAAATTGTTTGTAATAAGTTGCAACAAGTAAACATTTTGTACAGTGATATTTTACTTGTTATACTCAACATTGTAACGGTAACGTATTGAGTACCATCTCTAGTTCTCATTTATAGAACAGCTGAGTGAGCTGTCAGTTTTGGCATGATACACACACACAGTTGTTAGTCGGTCGCCATTATCGATTTCTTCGTGGCAAAAGAGGAATATAAAAATTGCGATACAGAATAACGCACCGGTCACAAAAGCGCAGGAAAACGCGGCGTTAAATTAAGAGCAAGCTGCAAAATATTTAAAAAATCGGTCGCCTGTGTTGTCTATATTATTTTAGTGTAACAATCAATTATTATAGCAAATAGTTCAATCAATCAATACGTCTTCACTTCTGTGTTGTGTTTCTGTGTGTATGTTTTGTGTGTGCGTATTGGTCTCTTGTCCGCTCCTGATATAATTAAATTAATAAAAGCATCAAAATACTCGTTTAAATAAAAATTCGCCGAGTGCAGAGTGTTATAAAATCAACAGCTTCAACATGACTATGGCTGGGCAAACAATCAATGACAGGCTGCTGGCTGCCAGACACAGCCTTGCGGGCCAAGGACTGGCCAAGTCTGTGTGCAAGGCCACAACTGAGGAATGCATTGGGCCGAAGAAGAAGCATTTGGATTGTAAGTTCAATGCACAAAACTACACATTTGTATATCTGTATTTTTGTTCATTTCCACATTTACATACATACATACTTATCTACACACGAGTATATGTGTGTATTTGTTTTGCTAATTAAACTGCCATACATTGCGGTTGTGGTTGCATAAATATTCAGCGGGTGGAGAGAGTGGGAGCGTAAAAAACAAGAAATAACGGTTAACATTTCCTAGTTACAACATGTGCACACGCATACACGGTCATATTTACATGGACAGACTTACATGCACTTCATAAAAAGACAAAATATTTTCTACAAGTCAACATTTGGCCATTCCCATTCATTCAATTATAGGCATTTGTGCCTCTCGCTTCACTGGCGCCTTAATATTGTGTCTCTGTGTGTAGTTTTTCGGTATTTTTATGATAATTTACAGTGAGTCAAATTGAGATATTGCTGTAACAAGTACAATTTGAAATACATTAAATTGGGCCAATAATATTAAAACATAAAGTGAATTTTTATCGACACTAAAGGAGTGAAGGGGGTTTTCCCGCTGACACATTTCGCAAGCATATAAATTTGTACATATAGTTCAACGAAAAATGTGTTAGTAATAAGCTTTCCTTAGAACTCATTTCTGCGCTATATTACTTAATATGTACGAAGGTATGTTTGTGAAATGGCCAATGCCAGAAACATAGATTCCACATAAGTATTGCTCAAGGTAATTTAAAAATATTGGAATATTGAAGGTTTTTGGATTCGGAAGTTAAGTTTTGCTCTGTGATATTGATTTAAATACCAAAAATAAAACAGTAGGACAAATTTTGTGGATTTGCTTTTTTTATGTGTACATATGTATATCAAAAGTATTTACACATATTTGTAAACGCTTAACCTAAGTACATATTACATTTGAAATATCAAAAAGTCGTAGGCTCGTTAGTTTTTTATCTTTGAATAATTACACACTTTTTCGATTTACATTTAATAATGTAACAACTTTTTACAATTGTGTTATCTGGAAATGCTTAAATTTTTTAAAGCTTGTCAGCCTCTGTCAAGTTAAAATATGGCATTAAAAATTGATATTAAACGGACACGGTTTGTCTACTTTTATGACAAACTGTGCATCTGTAATTGTGTGCGAATATGCTCCAATTTTGTTGGCAGCCGACCGCAAGCCACAAACAAACACACACACCCTCACAATATCGTACACAGGCAAAGGCCAAGCTTAAGTGCACCTGTGCCTCAGCTGCTTTTTGAATGTTTGCCGTGTTCTTCTTCTTCTCAATGCCCTCTCCTCTCTCACTCTCTTTTTATATTTCTCCTTAAACTAGCTTAACACAAATGGTTAATTCTTTTTCAACGACGTCAACTAACTGCGTTCGGCGCTCTTTCTAATGTTACGTCACTTTCTCACAACAGCACGTGTGATTGACTTACAATGAGTGTGTGTGCCTTTTTATACATACATACAAGTATGTATGTATATTTGAGTGTGTGTAGATTTTCATTATTCGAGTGTGTGACGTGATACGCCTACAATAAGCGCTTTGTGGTAGTTCCCTCTTATCTATTATTTTTGTTGATGTTTTTTGCGCAATATGAACAATCTGTAGTCATTGTCTTTTTAATGTATGCAAAAGTTTTCACTTCTAACAACATTGTTCTCTTATTTATTGGTGTTTACCGTTGTTCCTCAATTATGTTTTTTTTTCGCTTTTCCTAATTACGCTCAATTTTGCTGACAACAAGTTTTGGGTTTATTGATTGCCGGCATAACCACAGCAGAGTGTTTACCTAATTTATGCTCATTGGCTGCTCCTCTCTATACTTTTTTTTACCTGTGCGCGAAATACATTTGACCTGTTTTGGGTTTGTTGGTTTCTGCAGTCAACTTATAAAGAAGTTGTCAATGGACGCCAAATGACTCATGAAAAAGTTTTTCGTTTGTATTCATGCCTATGTGTATATCTTTTTATGTGCGCTGAGCATGAAAAGATTTACAAACACATACATATATACGAGTAAATACATAATATTTTCACATAATGCACAAGCATCGCATTTCGTGGGTCTTAGTAATGATATGGAATTTACGTGCGTCTATTAGCAAAAATTACTATTTGTTTGCTGTTGAAGGAACGAAATTTGATTGTGTTTAATTTATTTTATAAACTGATAGAAGAGGCAGATATTTATTCACTGAAATTAAACAAATTGGAATTTTCTTGGGAGATTATTTGAAAAGCAAAAATGTTTGATGCCATCTAATGATTTTTTATTGATTGTTAAGTTCAATGCCGAAGTTGTTAACCTTTTAATTTTATTGTAAAATGTGTATATTTCTACAAAATAGTAATTTCTATGCCTTTCGGTAAAATTACAAAATTTACAGCATCCGGAACAGGTTGGAAAGCTGCAAGCAAACCAACTTTTCTTCATTTCCCTAATTAATGCTATTTGATGAAAAGTAAATCTTTAATTAAATAATGTCTCGTTATTAATACCAGTTCAACACTTAGATTGTACATTAATCTAATTTAAAAATACCTATATCATATTTCTTTTTAATTAATTTTTATTTTGGCTAATGTGCTCACAAAATTTACACTCGTCATGCTCCAGTTATAATTAGCAGGGCCTGTTTTAAGTTGAAGTCGCCCGAACCGTGAACCCACATACACATCACATTTGTGACTTGAGTGGCCATTGAAACCTACTTAGCAGAAGAAGTGACTTGAATTGAGCTTCGTAAATCTAATCTTTGGTTACAAGTCTGTGGATAGCACACATGAGCAGGTAGAATTCTCTGAGTTATTCACTTGCTTTTCTCACCGGCTTTCTTCACTAAATACTTTCTGTTTACGCTTCACACTCTTTGGTAATGGTCGAATGTGGCAGAAACCAGTTGGACAAGAATGTGGAAAGCGTGGTATGAGAATTTTGTGTTTCTTGAACTTCAGAAGCGACATGGACTTGAATTCAAGCATGTTGTATGAAAGTAAAATGTTAAATTGATTATTTTCTATTGATTATTGTCCTATAAAATCAATGTGCATACCTAGAAATTTTTGATTTATAATGACGTGTGTTCATTAGCATCACTTTTTGTAAGATAAGAATTAGTATTAGAAAAGACAGCTTGTATCTTTAAAGACAAACATTTTTGGAATCAAAATGAAGCTCTGCTCTAATTGGGTAACATATGTAATGAAAATAATTGTAAAATTTGGCTATATTTTATAAAAATAATCCTCTATGTATATAAATTGTTGATTTAAAATATAGCATGATTCATGCTTTCCAACTGGCGCCAATTTCATGAACTTAACGCCCTGCCTCTAACTTACCTACATACTCGTCTATAGACATATGTATTGGTACATATATGCGTTTGTTTACTGACAGATTGCAAAACATCTGTATTTCATATACGCCCCTTGAAGCGTTTAATTGCATTTAATTATAATTTTCACACACTGGCTCGGCATGAAATAGTTGTTTAGGCGAAGGCGAAAGCGATAAGAAAAGTGTATGGGTGTTGTCAAGCTGCTGTTGTTGCTCCGATATTTCATTTGGATTTACGATATGCCTCTTCCGTTTGCTGAGCTCCTATTCATAAGCATATATGTATATGTATATATATATATATATATATTCATAACTATGAGTACATTATACGATATACATGAAACGAATGCCACGGACATTTAAGTCGCACCAGTCCGACTCTTCACCTTTTTTCTCTTTGCAGCTATTTATTTAAAATAAACATTTTTTTTACCAATTATTGTAATGGCAGCTGTATTATATAGTTTCCCGTTTTCATTAAAACTTTAGACTATAGTGGGGCACTATAAAAAGCTCATAAGTAGCAAATTTGTTTACGAAAAGTTAAATTAGGTTTGATTTTTGAGGCGATCGGCTCTATAAAGTGGTTATACATATGTGTATGGGTCCTTAGCTTTAATGGTTCAAAAGTTTTCATACGGATGGTCAGAAAAACATAGAAACGGACCCACAGGTAAATATAAATGTCTTATATGTATATGGAGATGAAAAGTAAAAGCAGGACAATAACATAAACACATCTGATTTTTGTAGCATTATTTTTAGTGAACTTCCAGTAATTTCCATAAAAATAGTTATTCTAAACTTATTAATACTAAACATATAATATAAAATTGGTGTGAGGCTTTCAAGCGTCCTAAACAGAGCATTCAATTAGAGAGAGCATTCTTGAACATAATATAAAATGTGCAGGGTGATCTACATATATATAGGCTTTCAATTAAATGCATATAACATGTACGAGTGTGTTTGTTTTTTGTCCGAAGAGTTGCTTTTCAACGCTCAATGGTGCCGATAAGTGTAATACGCAGACGACGACTTTAGGGGCTGTATTTTCAGATTGGGATATGAAAGCAAAAACAAAAAGCTGCGACTAAAGCAAAAGCAGATAAGAAAAATGCACCAAGGCTGATAAGAGAGAGAGAGAGAGAGAGCGGAGCGTCTGTACTTAAATTGTATTGAAAATATTATTTTGTGATTTATATTTATATGAATTATAAGCTTCATTTGCGTTCGTTGTCGCCCTATGCTTAAGTATTGAATTGCAACCCAACATTCATAAAAAATATTGTTTCTCTTTCTCTTTACAGATCTGGTGCATTGCACAAACGAGCCAAATGTCTCGATACCCCATTTGGCCAATTTACTTATTGAACGTTCACAGAACGCCAATTGGGTGGTCGTCTATAAGTCTCTGATAACTACACATCATTTGATGGCATATGGCAATGAGGTTTGTATATTTAAACGCCAGACATACACACGCACACGCACACACACACAAACACAAACAGACTCGCCAAACATATCACAAAAAGGGGGCGTTGACTCACACATGGATGACCTCCAAAATGCCTCGTTTCTTGCTTTTATTATTATTATTTTTTATTACTTTTATTACTGCATTCTTCTCACTTTCAGTGCATTTTTTGGTTGTCGTCGTACGTTCGTTTGTTTGCTTTCGTAATGGTTGGGTTTTTCATTTGTATGGAGTTCAACGTTGGTTTGGACTTCTATAACTAATCTTTCTAAAAAGGTCACGTATGTACGAGTACATTGATTGTGTGTGTGTTGTTTGGCTCTATTCATGTTTGATTGCTTGTCTTTCAGCGCGGTTAGCGTGTTCTTTTGGCCTCTTCTTATTGTTGTTTTCTTTGCCACTTCTTCATACGAGCATGCTGTTTCTGTCTTCTTATTTGCCACCCATTTGTGTGTTTATTTTGTGACACATGCAATTACAAATGCCGTGATTGTTGGTTTCGTTATTGTCGTCGTTGTTGTTATTGTGGGAAATTGCTTGCACAAGTGCGCTATAAATCAAGTGGGAGTCGAGTTTTTCTTTGAATATGGCCCCAATATTGTGAGACAATATGAGCTTAATTGAACACACAAAGGATGCTGCCAGAGCCAAATACAAGCAACAATATGAGATGAAGAGAAGATGACATAATAACACTGGACATTGTAACACAGAGCTATGAAGATGTAAAGAGATTTTTCGAAAATGCTGTTCTTTTTGCCAAAAAAAAGAAGACGTCAAAGTTTTTGATTTTGGCTTTAAACTCAGCTCATCATATTTGAAGGAAATATCACTTTTTCTTCACAATATTTGATACTGCATACATACATACATCCAAATTTGTTGAAATAAACTACAATATTATCTTTAGTATTCCTTTCGAATTTCCTCATGTATTGTCATTTTTTATCAAAAGCTACTTTACAACACTTTATGCAAAGGAAATAATCAATTTTCCAAATTACATCAGTTTTAAGCTGTCACTATAATCCACAACAGTACAAAATGAATTTGAATTATACGTATAGCGGATTTTGTGTTATTTTTAAACCCTCCATCCGCAGGGAAAACGTTTTTTAAAGAGTGTAACAAGGCAGAAGGACTCATCGCTGACCCAATAAAATACATATACTTGTATTATTTTAAATAATAAAACACAAAATTTTGTTTTTCATTGCAGCGCTTCATGCAATACCTAGCTTCGAGCAATTCTACATTCAATCTCAGCTCCTTTCTGGACAAAGGAACTGTGCAAGGTATAACGAAATTGTTCATATTATAATTATAATTTGACGAAGAAAAATAACCCGCACATACATCTATCAAACTAAATTTTAATAATAACCCATTTGGTTAATGATGCAAAATTATATTTAATGCTTTTTTCATAATAACATTTTTAATAATTGATATCATATTTAGAAATTGAACATCGATTTAATTTTAAGTAACAACTGCATTAATGCTTAAACAATCTATTTTCTCTCTACTTCCATTCCAAATACTCTATATTCCAAACTCTATGAACTTAAATTCTAATACGAATGCGGCGCATACATTTGGCTTATATATGTATGTGTGTGTGTGTGCGTGTATGCGTGTGTGTGTGTTTGTAAAATAAAAATATAATAACATTGTGGCTCGACTCAAAACTGAAAATCGCAACTGCTGTCGCTGCTTACTCACTCCCTCACATCATGTTGGCTGTAAAAATAATCAAAATATATATAAATACCTAATACCTACTATATCAATATATAAATAAATATCGAAAACCAACTTACTATATACATACATACATATATACATACATATATATACATGCGAACAATAAACGTAACCAGATGGTGGCATGAGCGTTCCAGGTGGCAGAATGGGTGAGTATTTTGAAAAGTGCATTGGCGGTACTATCTAGTAGACTCTTTAACTTTCAATCTTATGGTTTGGATCCCAATTTATAGTAGATGTTGTATTAAAATTGCTCTAAAAATTCAACTAACCATTCAGAAATGATTGTGCTAATTTTCATATATGGCGCTCAATTTGTAATCTATTAAAAACAATAACTTATTAGTTGATTTTGTGTTCCAAATATGTTGCATATAGGGAGTATGATTTGTAATTTCTAATGCGATTCCATTAACAGGCTATGATATGTCACCTTTTATTCGACGCTATGCCAAGTATTTGAATGAGAAATCGCTCTCGTATCGTGCCATGGCATTTGACTTTTGCAAGGTTAAGCGCGGGTAAGTAAACCCATTAATCTATTATTTCGGAATTAATTATATATGTTGTAATTATTGTAGCAAAGAGGAGGGCTCCTTGCGCAACATGAACGCTGACAAACTTCTAAAGACCTTACCAGTTTTGCAGGCACAATTGGATGCACTTTTGGAGTTTGATTGCCAATCGAATGATCTGACCAATGGTGCGTATGCGTAATATTTCATTTCTAAGACCATATTCCATAATCCATAACAAATTACAGGCGTCATTAACATGAGCTTCATGTTGCTATTTCGCGATCTCATACGCCTATTTGCGTGCTATAATGATGGCATTATTAATTTGCTGGAAAAGTATTTCGATATGAATAAAAAACACGCACGCGATGCTCTAGACTTGTATAAAAAGTTCTTGGTACGCATGGATCGTGTGGGTGAATTCCTGAAAGTTGCCGAGGTGTGTATTATTATTATTTTTTTAAATAATTGTCCTGAAATTTGTTTATCAATTAATGTTCTTGCTTTGTTCTTTTCACTTAGAACGTGGGTATTGATAAAGGAGACATACCCGATTTGACTAAGGCGCCCAGCTCCTTGTTGGACGCTTTGGAGCAGCATTTGGCTACGCTGGAGGGCCGTAAAGTATCGGCAGCCAATACACCCACACAGTCGTCGAGGTGTGTGTGTTTTAAATGCCCTTGCAAGAGCGATTTTAAAACTAAATGCTTAACAAATATAAGTTTGAATATTTGTAAAGGCTCTTAAGTTCCGATTGTACTATCCTTGTTTAAAATGCATAATATGCATGACAAATTTTTGCTGTTATCTTTTAAGCTTACACCAGTGTTTCAGTTTTTTTAAAATGTATATTACATATTATTATTAATGAATTTTGATAGCCACCTGTTTTAATAATCATTTTATATAGTTTTGTTATTATTTTAATCCAGTTTTTGATTTTTCTCTCTTTCGTTTCATTCACTCGGTATGTGTTTTTGGTTTTTGCGTAAATCATTTATTTGATTTGGAAATTCATACACTGAGTAGCTATCAGCGAACGAATGTTAAATCAGCTGTCACTGCACTCTCTTCTACCAGCTCTGCATTTGGCACTGCGGCAGCTTCCAGCAAATTTGATACCACCAATGGCATTGACGAGCAACTGAAGGCACAGGTGCTGGCCGAGGAGGAGGCCGCCATGAATCAGTACAAAGTGAGTATAGAAATTGAAACTGAAAGTGTTGTGCTAAAAAGTTCAATTCTCCTTATTAAAAAGAAAAAGGAATAATTATTTTTTGCATTGCCTGAAAATCACAAAACTTAATAAATAGTTTTAAAAGAAGATCATTATCGATATAACTTCAATTTTCAAAATTAAACTAATAATTTGCTAGAAAACAAAAACTAAAGGAACAATAAACATTTACAATGTGCTCGTAACTTGGGACTCCTCCAACTTGTGGTAATTGTATTTGTAAAATAAAATGCAATCCATTTAAGTTTTCATTTTGCTGTAAACCAAGATAGTTTCATAGTTTCATGATTCAGAGCATGATTAAAAAATGTTTTCAATTGTTTACAAACTTAACATTGGATCCTTAGCAATGACTCATGTTTTGTAGTGTGTGGGTAGATATGGTGTTTGTATTTATCCATTTTTGTTGCATGGGCAGAATTCGGAAGGAGTGCACTTCTTGCTACGCTCTAACTTAGCTCGCCGGATATGGGGTGGGGTTCTTACCTCCTTCTGCCATACTACACTACCACAATAGTTTAAGTGCACATTAATAAAAAAAAACCAACAGTTCAATTGACAATAAAATAAAAATCCAAAGTTGAAGAATAATCGTTCTTGAAACCCTACTGAATTGGATTGGATTTGGCAATATCTAGTGAGGAGCATAGATGTTGTTAGCATCCTCGTCTGTACCCACCCGACCATGGCAATATAAGTTGTTTAGGTATTGCCCCATAAGAACTTTATATGAATAGTTAATTATTGGGAAGAAACATGATTTAAATTTTAGGCGACGGACCGAAAAAGAAATACGGTTAGCAATTCATGATTTCAAAATTAAAAATATTATTCATTTATTCCAAAACAATTTCATAGTTAATCTCATGTCTAATCAGAATTTATGTTCATTAAGACCCTAGCCTGATTGTATATGCAAAAAAAAAAATACACATATCCTATGAGTACATTTAAATATAATATGGTATATGCATTGTAAAATATATCTGGTAAATTTAATGATTCAGGTTAATTGTAGCTTTTAATTTGTCTGTGTTTGTACATACTTACTCAGCTTGGTGATCGTTGAGCTCAATCGAAGACGCAGCTAACATTACCACAGACTTTTGCATTTACAACTTATTAATTTGCATTAGAAATTCATTAAATTTATATATATATATATTCCTAATGCATGAATATCATTGTTAACTAATTGGATTTATGTGGCCTTGCATATGCAATCAAGTAGATGGATTGTACATGCTTTTGTTGTTTTTAAAGAAAAAAGAAAAGAAGAAAATTAAGTATACATTTTAAACTAATCAATTATCATAGATTTTGTAAGTTTTAATGGAAATATTTAATCAAATAAATGTGCTAGTTTGAGCTATTTAACTATTATTGAATATGCAACCGTTGTTGTAAGACGACCGTTTGTATTTTGCAATGACATTAAGTGTCATAGAAAACCGAATAAAATGGCCAAAGTTAATAAAATTTAAATGAACATAGGCTCGTTATTCAAAAGACCGTTTCCTATCTGTACTATTCCTTGCAAATTTGCTGGCTTAGTCACAGGCACTTCTGGTGTTGCCGAGAAAGTAAAGTCGTGTAGCTGCTGGATCTGGGGTGCGGTGTAGTCAAAATTATTAAAGTTGTTGCGTTGTTTCAGCACGGAATTATAGCCGCAGCAGGTTGGCCCTGAGCACCATACCTGCCGCTCGGGGTTATGAAACTCGATCTCTAAACAAAAAAAATTACTTTAAAAACAGAACGAAGCTAACCATATTGATTTACCTGGTGTAAATACAACTCTGCTTCCTTTAATAAATTAAACAATCTTTCCAGCGAAGAAAAGGGGTGGAATATTAATCCGCCGAAATCCAAGCAATCTCGAAATCTCTTTATACAATTTTATGCACTTTTGGCAATAATAATTACTAAATGTTGCACGTGGGCACTTTACAAAATTTTTAATAGAGATTTGGCAAGAAGTATGACCGTCCACATTCAGCTGATCTCAAGCAATGAATCTAATGCTCAGCTTGACCTTATTATTGCACGTATGCAGACCTTGAGAGTGATAAGCTGCATTGGCTAAAAGCTCTCTCTCTCTCTCTTATCCAAGGTGACCGAAGAGATCAGAAGAGTTTATTAGGAGAGCGAAAACGGAGTTTTGTTTTCTTCTTCTTCTTTTCTTACCTTCTTTATCGCCAAATACACTCGAGGACAAAATAAATATTCCAGTCTAAACTGAATACCACAGCACAGTTAAAGCGAATAAAATCGTATTTTCAGGCGTCTTTAACTGAAACAATTCGGTTAAGGCTGTTTCTTTGATATTTTTGGAATTTGGATATCTTTCAAGTGATACACTCCTAAAATTTTATTTGCTTCATTTACCAATTCGTAATAAGCGGGACTTAATTTTCGCTGAACTTTAGCTTTTATAAAAACTGGGGCGAGTTTAGCGTTGAATTTCTTTAAAGCGTTGCTCTGCGTAAAGTTGCGAGCGTAAACGACGTCACCTTCTTTAAGTTGCATCGATCGACTGCGCAGATTGTAAACTTTTGCATTTGTTTCATGTGATTTAGCTACATTAACTTTTGCTTTCCTGCGTGCGATCTGTAAAGCATCTGAAGTCTTAAGTTGAGTATCATCGCTTACTAGATTCAATTTCTTTAACAGATTATAGTCCTGTCCATTTAAAACCATATTTTGGCCAAAAACCAAGAAGTAAGGTGAATAACCGGTACTACGGTGAATATTAGCTCTGAGAGCGCCACTTATTTCGTTCAAGTTCCTATCCCAGTTGGAATGATCGACTCCTATGTACGCACGGATCGCTGCTAAAACGGATCTGTTTAAACGTTCACTAGCGTTTGCCTGGGGAGAATAAATTGCTGTACAGGTATGCGAACCACCGAATCGAGTTAAAAATGATTCAAAGTATGAGGAACGAAATTGGGATCCGTTGTCTGTCAAAATAATCTCAGGGACACCAAATGTATAAAATATGCTATTTTCCAAAAACTCGCAGATGCGATAAGAAGTAAACTTTTTCAATGGTTGTAAGAAATGAAACTTTGTACAATGGTCTACAATAATTAGAAGTCCAATGTTTCCACTCTTAGATCTGGGGTATGGTCCTAAAAGATCCATATATAATTTTTGAAAGGGCCTCTCTGATGTCATTGACTTGCCCATCGGGGTCTTAACACAATGTTCGGGCTTTTCGTTGTACGACATACAGAACAATTAGCAACATATTCACGAATTTCGGAAACCATGCCTGGCCAGAAGAAATACATTTTTAATTTATAGATCATTTTGCCGGTGCCACAATGAGCTGCATCTGGAGCGTCATGCGTTCGACGTAGGATATCTTGTCTCAATCCTGAGGGGATCCATAGTTTCCATGATTGGGATTCCTGGATGCAATCACCAGTTGCGTGTTCATTTCTTTTATAGACAAAATTATCTATAACTTTTAAGTCAGGAAGCTTGGATTGGTTATCACAAATTCGTTCAATTAGGCTCAAATACTCGTGTGACTGAAATTCATTCGACGACAAATCAACTAGGGGTCCAAGATCGACAAGTTCTGATATGGTTGGATCATTTTGCCGAGACAAGGTATCAGCAACCACATTTAGAGTTCCACTGCGATGAATAATGTTCATTTCATAACCCTGCAACTTGACAGCCCATCTACCTAAACGACCTGTGAGATCTTTCTGATTCATAAGCTATTTTAATGCAGCATGGTCAGTGATAATAACGAATTTCTGTCCTTCAATATATGCACGAAATTTCTTTATTCCCTTTATGACAGCAAGACATTCTAATTCTGTCACTGTGTAATTCCGTTGTGCTTTCGCCAACTTTTCGGACATGTAAGCGATGGGAAGTTCCACTCCATCCTCATTGTCTTGAGCCAATATACAACCAAGTCCATAAGAACTAGCATCGCATATCAACTTAAATGTTTTAGAAAAGTTAGGGGTTCTTAAAATAGGTGCAGAAGTTAATCTTTCTTTTAGAGTATTGAATGCTTCATTAGCTGAATCATTCCACTCTAAAGACTTATTTTTCTTCAGGAGATCTGTTAACGGGCAACTTATGGCAGCATAATTTTCAACAAACCGTCGGTACCAACCCGATAAACCTAAGAAGCGTCGTAGCTGTTTAACGGTTTTGGGCACAGGAAATTCATTTATGGCTTGAATTTTCCCAGGATCGGTTTTTAATTCTCCATAACCAATAATGAATCCTAAATATTTAATTTCCCGCATACAAAATTTTGACTTAGCAACATTAATCGTAATGTTAGCTTTACGTAAGCATAGGGCGACTTCTTCAATTAGACCTAAATGGGAGTTGAAATCATCAGAAAGTAGAAGAAGGTCGTCTAAATAGACGAAAACTCGAGTTCGCAAGTGTGGAGGAATGACGTGGTCCATCAACCTGCATAGTGTCTGGGGCGCATTGCACAATCCAAATGGCATAACTTTATATTGATAGAGAGGCCGATTTGGAATTGTGAAAGCTGTATACTGGCGCGACTGTTTTTCCAAAGGGATTTGCCAGAATGCATGCTTCATGTCTAGTCCAGTTATAAAACGCGCAGGCGGTAGCCTGCTAAGGATTCCATCAATGTGAGGTAACGGATATGCGTCCTTCCGAGTTACTTTATTTACTACCCTAGAATCTAGACACAACCTTATTTTGTCACCTTTTTTTACCATCACACAATTGCTGCTCCATGGACTCTTTGATTCTTCTATAATGTCCAACGCTAACATTCTATCTACTTCTGAAAACATCAATTTTTCGACTGCCGGAGATATGGGCCAATGCCTTTGCTTCACGGGCTTAGCTTGCTCCACATCCATGTGATGCTCAATTAAATGAGTACGACCTAGACCTTCTTTTTCAAAAGATGGAAGTTTTTGAATAATCCGATCTAAAGAATT